CAATTCTCAGGAATTTTTGCAATTTTTGCAATTTTTACAATTTTCAGGAATTTTTGCAATTTTCAGAAATTTTTCAAATTTTCAGGAATTTATGCAATTTTCAGGAATTTTTGCAGTTTTTGCAATTTTTACAATTTTCAGGAATTTTTGCGATTTTTGCAATTTTCAGGAATTTTTGCGATTTTTGCAATTTTTACAATTTTCAGGAATTTTTGCGATTTTTGCAATTTTCAGGAATTTTTGCAATTTTCAGAAATTTTTCAAATTTTCTGGAATTTTTGCAATTTTCAGGAATTTTCGCAATTTTTACAATTTTCAGGAATTTTTGCGATTTTTGCAATTTTCAGGAATTTTTGCAATTTTCAGGAATTTTTGCTAGTTCTGCAATTTTCAGGATTTTTTGCGATTTCTGCAATTTTCACAATTTTCAGGAATTTTTGTAATTTTTACAATTTTCAGGAATTTTTGCGATTTTTGCAATTTTCAGAAATTTTTCAAATTTTCAGGAATTTTTGCAATTCTCAGGAATTTTTGCAATTTTTGCAATTTTTACAATTTTCAGGAATTTTTGCAATTTTCAGAAATTTTTCAAATTTTCAGGAATTTATGCAATTTTCAGGAATTTTTGCAGTTTTTGCAATTTTTACAATTTTCAGGAATTTTTGCGATTTTTGCAATTTTCAGGAATTTTTGCGATTTTTGCAATTTTTACAATTTTCAGGAATTTTTGCGATTTTTGCAATTTTCAGGAATTTTTGCAATTTTCAGAAATTTTTCAAATTTTCTGGAATTTTTGCAATTTTCAGGAATTTTCGCAATTTTTACAATTTTCAGGAATTTTTGCGATTTTTGCAATTTTCAGGAATTTTTGCAATTTTCAGGAATTTTTGCTAGTTCTGCAATTTTCAGGATTTTTTGCGATTTCTGCAATTTTCACAATTTTCAGGAATTTTTGTAATTTTTACAATTTTCAGGAATTTTAGCGATTTTTGCAATTTAAAATCTTCAGGAATTTTTGCGATTTTCAGTAATTTCTGCAAATTGCAGAAATTGCTGTGAGCTAGAATCTAATATGTTTCCCGTGTATCATACACTTTTTTTCTGTGACAGAAGAAAGGACGAATCAATTTTGAAATCTGTAGGCATCTTTATCATTATTTTGAAGTAATCAAATATCTGATGACACTTCTGTCAGTCTAATTCTGTGATTTGAATTCAAAAAATTTCGAATTTAGTGGGTGTTTAGTATACGTAACCGCGAAGTCGAATGGAAGATATGAGGATTTGCAGTGCTTTGTCGGAGACGGTATTATTGACTCATTTTTCGGAACCATAGCACAACAAAAGCCATCAACAGTGTATTTATATAATGTGATATACACTCACCGGCAAAAAAAAACAGCCACCAAAAAAATTGCCCAAATTGTTCTCCCTGTAACTTTCATAATACTTGTCCGATTTTTGTGAAATTTCGATCAAATCGAGGATTCATGTTCCAGAATGTTAGTCTCAGTATTAGTTTCCGTGAATAACTTATGACTTGATCATTATGCAGGGAAAAAGCAAAGTTACTCTTTCACCGTTAAGTTCAAGAGATGAAATGCCAAACTTTTTTTCCGTCCGCTTGTTGAACAATATACTATTTCGATCTTTACGGGATATATCACTTATTAGTACATATCACATCATATACAATACATTTATTTTCTTCCCAAATATGAATTCCATAGTTACCTATATAAGCCTCTTTATAACTATCGAAACAATATGCTTTATATGCAATTTCCAGAGATTGTCGTAGGAAAAGTAAATTTTCAATGGTAATGGATAAAAATTACATATTGGAAATTTCGTTCTGTAGAATACATTCGATAATAATTGATTGTGTACCTACTTTATCATTTTATTGTACTCTATATTCCTTATATCTTCGAATTTAGAATGAGAAAAATCGAAAAAAGTGGCATCAAATAAGTGAATAGTAGAGTACGATACTCAGAATTTGGAAGAAGCAGTACTTTGGTTGACTTGTCCAAACGAACTTTAAATCAAACTCTGTCACGTTGCAACCCGATTCTCATCTTGAACAGAGTTTATTTCAAATTTTCCGCATCCATACTGGCATATCACATGAAGATCCTAAAAACATGTCACAAACAGTGATCCTGATATCGGAGAACGATTTCTCGAATCAAAACAGAAAGTTGCCCTGAAAATGGCATTCCTTCATTTCCATCTACATTGTAAAGTCGCTATGAGTTGATGTAGAAATACACAGGAGGATTACGTATCGGCCACAAATTAGAAGTCTAACTTGCAGTTTCCTGAAATATTTCTAGTCCTTCAACTATCAAAAGTCGACACCAACTTTATAATTTTAAATAGAAACCTATATTTTTTCAGTCGGTTCGATTGGCTTTCTAACTCTGAGTTCAAAAAACCTTATTTGAACTACGAAATATCTATAATGCTCAAAGTGGAATGAAATGTTAAATACAAAAAGCTCATTTAACTTACAAAGTTAATATCACAATAATATTAAACATTCAGTACCTGAAGATAAAACAAAAATAAATTCCGTATTTAGATCAATCAGACGAATATATGGTTTCTAATGACAATGATGTACAATGTATATCTACGTTGCTGCAATATTTATTTAAATTATCACTCATTCTACTCATTGGCGAGTTCAGTCCCAAATTGGTATGACAAAAATTGACATTCAAAAATATTTTAAGTCTTGTGGGTCTAGACGGTACATGGAATGATATGAGAGATAACAACATAGAAGAACTAAAATGATTCCTCATTATTTTATAGATGAATAATGAATCAGACATAATTCTACGTTGCTCCAAGGTTATAAGTCCAAAAGAGCGTCTGGTTTGGTTAATACTCTCTACAACAAATGAATTGTTCACTCTGAAGTTCAGAAATCTCACAAAATTATTTTGAACTCTCTCCAATCGGACTTTGTGGTTGGTATAATAAGGACTCCAAATGACACTTGCAAAACATAATCGGCTATATACGTAGGCATAATAATAATAATGTTTTGATTGAATTTTGAGACCGAAAATATTTACAAGTTCTCCTAATAAAACCTAACATTCTATTGCATTTGTTAGTAACATAATCAATATGCATTGCAAAACTCAATTTGGAATCGAAAATAACTCCAAGGTCCTTAATATAAGATACTTTTTCCAAATGGCTACCATTCAAATTATAATCAAATGTAATAGGGTTCTGATTCCTAGCAAAGCTTATACTGAAACATTTCCTTGAGTTCAAAAATAATCTATTATAGATAGACAATATCGCAGTAGTTTTCACCATTTTATAAGATGAAGGGATCACTGTTAGTTGCCATATGGATGTTCCTGTTCTCAAACTAACTCTAATTATTAACTTCATGGATTTTTTATCTAGTTTGATACAGTTGAAAAGGTTTGTTGTGGTTTTCACTTTCAACTATTTAGATAATAACAGAAGATAGTTTGTTAGTGCATTTTGATGTTATGCAGTTCTTGCTTTTACATTTTTATTTTTTGTGTTGAATTTAACTATCCACTAGACACTCGAACATAAACAATAACAAAATGATTCTAAACTTTCTCACCTCAGCCTCTACCTATACTAACTTGCTTAGTTATGGAACTTGACAACAAAACTGTAACACCATCATGTAAGAGCATATCACTAACCCTATACATTCGCTTTCTGGCTTTTTTAATCTTGAATTGGTCAATGAAAGAATGTTATTTAATGAGTTACTACCAATCCTAATTTTAGTTATACCATTCAGATGCCACTATTGAACTTGGACTTCTTTAGAAAAATTTAAACTAAACTGGTCAACATTGATAACGTCGTGCTCCAAAATATAGCGTGAATTCAAAGTAGAACAAATCACGAATTTCCTCACCAACTTGAAATCGGTTTTCACCGATGATTAGCCTACTTCTGTAATCTCAGATAACATTGCTACAGGGTGATAATTGAATGGGTGTAAAATTTCATCGTGGTCGTCACCTTACCGTTTGAACAGATAATTTTTTTAATTTTTTTCTCACCTGTATCCTCTTGATTGATGCTTTCTCTCGGAACGTTTTCGGAATTTTCAAATGCACCATTTTGATTGAAAATGCGTACTTTCATTATATGACCTTCGATCCAAGAAATTACAAAACCATTTCGAGGTCAGACACCAGAAATCCTCATGACGAAGTAACACTCCATTATTCCACTAGTAACACAGAGAAAATGATGTTTCATCTACTGAAGACTACATTATTCTCCATTCCCTCATTCAGTATTTCTTGTATCACTTTGTATAGACTTTTCAGAATTTTCTGTGTTCGAACACGATCACATATCCGACGACTATACATACAACGTTGATTCTTCGGAGAAGAATTCCAACTCTCAATTTCATTCAATTAATCGTCGAAAAAATGCATCATTCTGAATGAATATTCATAACACGATTATCAAAGCTCTGAATTTGAAAATTCCGAAAATTTTTCGAGAGAAAGCATCAATCAAGAGGATACGGGTGAGAAAAAAAAATTTAAAAAATTATCTGTTCAGGTAAGGTGACGACCACGATGCAATTTTACACCCATTCAATTACCACCCTGTAGCAATGTTATCTGGAATTACAGAAATTTCATATTGCCACATCAAACTGTCAAGAGATTAGGCTAATCATCGGTGAAAACCGATTTCAAATTGGTGAAGAAATTCGTGAATTATTCTACTTTGAATTCAGGCTATATTTTGGAGCACGACGTTATCAATGTTGACCAGTTTATATACCATAAATCCACCTTCACTATATGTATAATAAAGATATCCAAATAAGGAATGTGATTTATGGAATTTAACATAAACATCAGTTAATTTTCAGTAAAAATCAGATTTTGTTGACCATTTCATTGGAATAAAAGTTTTTTGTTATTGTTCGCTTATATAATCTTGCCTGTATTTTTTAGAATAAAGTGACTGAAAAATTTAAAAGGCCGTTCAAGAAGAGGCATTCGAGTGTCTACCATCAGCCATCCAACAGGGTGAACAAATATTTGGCACAGGCGATCGAAGCTAGAAGTGTGGACAGAGAAAAATCGACCCACGTGAATCTCATCACCCTGTGTTTCAAAGACAGGCATAAAGAAAACCAGGTTTGTAATTCTCACTAATTACCAGTTCTGGATATTATGTTCCAAATATCCTTTCCTTTGTTTCGATGGACCTTTTCAGTAGATAGGTATCGACTTAGTAATGCTAGTTGAATTCATGTCAAATGCCTATTTTATTGATATTTGCATGTATGAATAAAATTATTCATTATTTAGAATTATCAGAAATGATCTTTTTCAGTAATTAAAGTCGGAATCTTTCAAAACAGCTGACTTTTGATGACATTAAACACCGACAAACACCATATCTCAAATAATTCTCAGCAACCAATAAGACCATAACCATATGGCAAGAATTTACTTCTAACGTAGGGGTGTACTAAGATATACAGTGTGTCCCACTTACCATGCTCACCATGGGTATCTTTTCAACGGTGAGAGATACGAGGTCGGTTAAATGACACCAAATGTGGAGTTTGTCAAGGCCAACTATAATGTGAAAAAAAATTTTGATAAAATCTATTCGTTTTTGTTTTATACGCAAAAAACAGATTTTGATAATTTTCATGTCTCCTCCGTAACTTCTTTATTTAGGAGAATATTCAAATAGGAATTTCACATTCTTATGGCAGTTTTCCAAATTGATTTCGAAAAAAATATGAAATTTATACCAACTCTTCTAGAATTTGAGATATCAGCACCAACTTTAGTTTTTCAAATGTAGGTCATAGCTCACTATGACTTAGTTACGAATAACTTTTTTTTCTCTCACAGATGATATGTCGCAGTAATAGTTTTGTGTTGATAATAACGGAGTTATCGTCATTTATACAAAAACAAAAAATTATTTGGAAGCCGCCATCTTGAATTCATAAATTTTAACAAGAAAATCATGATCTCCGACCTCAAAAACCCCCACTTACCAATTTTGAATGGAATCGGACCAAATTTTGTCCGCCATCTTGGAGCAGCCATTTTTTTTAATTTCAACAAAAATTCCATAACTCCGATTAACTTGAAATTTGGCAGGTGTTCATAATTTCAGTGACAATACATTATGGAATTTTTGTTGAAATTATAAAAAATGGCTGCTCCAAGATGGCGGACAAGATTTGATCCGATTCCATTCAAAATTAGTAAGTGGGGGTTTTTGAGGTCGGAGATCATGATTTTTTTGTTGAAATTTATAAATTCAAGATGGCGGCATCCAAATAATTTGTTTGTTTTTGTATAAATGACGATAACTCCGTTGTTATCAACACAAAACAATTACTGCGACATATCATCTGTGAGAGAAAAAAAAGTTATTTGTAAATAAGTCATAGTGAGCTATGACCTACATTTGAAAAACTAGAGTTGGTGCTGATATCTCAAATTTCTAGAAGAGTTGGTATGAATTTCATATTATTTTCGAGACCACTTTGAAAAACTGCCATGAGAATTTGAAATTCCTATTTGAATATTTTCATAAATAAAGAAGTTACGGAGGAGACATGAAAATGATCAAAATCTGTTTTTTGCGTATAAAACAAAAACGAATAGATTTTATCAAAATATTTTTTCACATTATAGTTGGCCTTGAGAAACTCCACATTTGGTGTCATTTAACCGACCTCGTATCTCTCACCGTTAAAAAGATACCCATGGTGAGTTTGGTAAGTGGGACACACTGTATACACTGTACATAAGTGGAAACGTCGAAGAACTGCCCCCCCCCCATTTGAAGTGGGACAAGTAAAATTTTCGAACCGTCATAACTTTTGATTAGATCAACCAAACCTGAGGCATGTTTACATAACCTAAGATTGCTTTTGATAGCAACGAACGAGTTGAACATGGTAGTTATATCCTTCTAGAGAGGTAGAGCCACTCCAATTATTATGATCATTAGGTATATTATGAGTTTATGAGATACCGAACACATGCATTTAATAATGTTATTCGAAACACTAGATCGGTAGCTTGATACTTAGGTACCCAATATTATCATAATTGAAGAATCCATCTTCTATATTATCAATCGATTGATTGAGAATACTCCTGCCATCGTAAATAACCACCAGAAAAAGTGAGGAGCACATACGCGATCTCCGATAGTCACATATAATAATGATCCAAATGATCAGTTGATTGTTGATGTAGACGTTCCTAGAACATCCACTAGAGGCACGATTAGTGAACAGGATATTGGACAGCAAAGGACCACAACTCGTTAGAGTTGAATTAGTTCCAGACAACTTACCATCACAAGGCCATTATCGTATTTTTAACTGACATAGCATTGGGAAATCATCGGCCCATTACATCAACGTCTACTGAAAAAATTTGGTATTACCTCAAGATTGCAACAACTATTAAAATCGTTTATTAAGAGAAAGTTATTTGTGGAATATGAAGGAGTTGAATCAATCACGTTTGTGTCAACATCAGGGGTTCCACAAGGTTCAAACTTGGGACCACTGTTGTTTGTTTCATTTGTCAATGACATATGTGACTCTCTGAACTCGAAAACCCTACTATATACCGATGATTTGAAGTTAAACCGTGAGATAAAGGATTTAAGAGATTGTCAACAATTACAAAAAAAATTTGTGACTCTAAATTATTGGTGTATAGAAAACAATTTGCTCCTCAATCTCACCAAGTGCAAGGTAATGACATTTTCCCGTGAGAATGTTTGTTTGTTTTCAATTATTGTATATCAAATCAGCAATTTATTATCAAGGGTTTCTGAATACAAAGATCTAGGCGTTAATTTCGAAGAGAAGCTCAACATTCACATTAATACCGTTATTGGTCAGGCCAATCGTAATTTAGGTTTTCTTATTAGAAACTGTATGAAATTTCATTCTTTCAATGCCTTACGTAATATTTACTACTCAATGGTAGGAAGCAAGCTGGAATATTGTAGCATCATATGGAACCCCAAATATGTAGATGCATTGGAAGCTGTCCAGAAGAAATTTTTAAAATATGATTTTTTCAAAAAACATGGTATCTATCCAGAGAGAGGCTATGATTATAATCTATTGTTAGAAGAATTCGATATGTTCTCGCTGAATAAACAGAGAGATCGCAAATCTTGTTTTTCTATACAAACTCATCAAAATTGGCATAGATTCTCCGAATCTTTTGTCAGCAGTAGACTTCAATATCCCAAGAATTACGTCTTGAACAAATACTACCTTTCACTAGGTAGTTTCTAATTCGCAACACCATTATTACTGTCCTCTTTCGAATATGTGTAGAATTTACAATAATTTGCCATCTGTCAATGTTGACATATTTTTTTCTACTACTGCTATGAAAAGTAGCGCATTTCTCATAGCTTACTTAAATTCAAAAAAATAATCTCACTCACCCTTCAGGCTCGTGCCACAAACTTTCGCACTTGTGAGAAAAGTTGAACTTTTCCCACTTGTTGCACAATATACTATTCTGTCATTACGAGCATTCAAGAAAGTTCTAGTGCCATTCCAAATTAATCATTATGTCTATATATATGATCATTAGCGTTCAGCTCATTTTTGTAAAATACTCCTGTCATTAGGCAATTAGCCTTTTGGATATATAATTATCAAATAAATGAATAAAATTAATTACCAATACCCCGTCACTTCACCAGACTACCCTGCACTAGGCCAGACTTCTCCCAGTAGTTCAATGTTTGCTGGGAATCCAAAGTTATGACTGTTGGAAAATGGAAGAAATTCTTGCTTGTCTCACTTCAAATATGGGTCAGTTCAGTTGCATTGGTGTAATAATAATCATAATGTGATAATAACCAACGAATCTCAATTTTTCAGTACCATGACGATCTGGACGTTGGCTACAGCTCGACCCTGGTGTGCGCGCTGGTTCTCCTGGTTCTTCTTGGCACCTTGCAGGCGACTGTCCTACCAAGAACCATCATCCTGCTCCTCCTGTTCCTAGTCGCTTTCATCTGGATATCCGTCGTTCTGATGTTGCTGCTGGCGGTGCGACTGCGATGGATATTGTGGGACATTTCCCATAGTTTCGTTCTAAGACTGGCTATCACGGTGTTCACCATTGTTTTGATATATACTGTTGCGCAGGTTAATGTGGTAAGTACAAATCTAATACTAAACCAGAACCATTAATCTTGTTTTCTTTAATTCTCAGAAGCAAATGTTATTTTCTTGTTGTGGTGTGGGTGTCAAAAAAACAGAAAGAGAGTTTGAAACTGCTGAAATGGTGGTAGTAGCACTTATCATGCGATGTTTTTTTTTTTTCGAATATTCTATTCGTTACCCACGTATTTTCGTCTGAAAAACACGATTTGTTCAGTAAAAATGTGAATAAACCTCTAATTATCAAGATATTTCACGAAATAGTTCGAAGTTTCACCTTCTTTTTTCGCCTGTCTTGGATATGCATTTACAACTGCTCTGGATACCCGCCGTTTTGATGTTTCTGCTGGCGGTCCGACTGCGGATATTGTCATGATAAAATAGATGGTTAGTTCATCCGTGTTATGATGAATTGATGTTAATAAAGATATGCCCATTGCCTATATGAATATCAAACTCAGAAAAAATATCACAGCCTACCTCAATGAAATTGAAATATTATAATAACGATAATCTGAAATCATGGAACAAGAGATTTTTAAAAGTCGACTAATCTTGGATATAAAATATACTAAAAAATATGTCTTCAATTCATATTGAATTCCTTCATTGAATATCATATAGCATTAGATATTGGAAACAATCTCTTGAAAACATATCTAGAAAAAAGGACTATCAGTACTAAAAACAATAATTGTGAATCTAAAATACTATATATAAACAAAGGAGTTCCCCAAGGATCAGTGTTGGGCCCAATTCTGTATCTTTTGTACATTCAAAACATTTCAAAAATGAAATAGGAAACTATGCCATATATGCAGATGACACAGTACTTTTATTTGAAAATAAAAACCCTGCAATTTTAGAAAATAGCATAAATGAGAATTTGAAGAAAATGGAAGAATGGCTATACTCCAATCTTCTTTTCCTAAATTCTAATAAGACACAATATGTAAATTTCCATCAAAGAAATGAACAATATATTGATTTAAAAATTAGAATAAAAAATGAAAGATTGAAACAAACTGCCTATACCAAATACCTCGGTATCTGGATTGATGAAAAGTTAACATGGGACAAGCATATTGGAATGCTCAAAGAGAAAATTTCTCCCATAGTTGGTGCCCTAAGAAGATGTCCTAAACTTATCCCAAATATAGCAAATACCGTTCTATACTCTCACATCCTTTTATCTGATAAATACTTCCAAAATTTCTTTTCTTATTATCAACAAACACCTCAAATCTAATTTCATATTGTTAAGGAATTCTCAAATCCATGAACATCATACTAGACAATATGACTTGTTTTATCTTGATGCTGCTAATTCTACACTTGGCCAAAAAAAGTTTACTCACGGAGCTATCTCAAAATTCAATAAATCACCTGATGATATCCAAAGTTGCAGAAATATCACCCAATTCAAAATTAAAGTCAAGAAACATATCATTGCAAAGAGAAAATCAAACCTGAGTGAATGATTTCTCATATTTATTTCATCATGTCGTATGTACTTTTCATGAGCTTCTTGTTTTATTATTATCATTTTTGAATCTGTTGTTTATTTCATTAACTTAGATTTATGAATAATCTCATACCAGATATGAATCTGTCTGATTATTCATGTTATTTCATTGTAAATCTTAAATCTTAATCCTGAATATGAATTTTTGTATTGCAGTTCAGCTGCCTTCCTGACACAAATTGCTTACCTCACTCGACGGCAAACATCACTCTCGATGGAAGGGACCACAGGGCATGTCCTCTGCCTCAATACATCGTCCTATCTTGTGCCCTTGGATATTTGGCTGTGGCGATATTTTTAAGACTTCCTATATTACTTAAGACTGCATTACTCGTCGTGATGTCTACTGTTTACATACTACTCATCGAACTGTCTCACATTGAGCTGTTCTTGTGCTATGATATTAGAGTAAGGTGAGTTTGATGACTGATTTATTATTGTTGATACCTTTTCAACTAAGGAAAATGCTCAACGTGTACGAGAAGCGATTGGCTGGGCTATTTTGAACCCTTCAACATTTTCTTCTGTATCCTCTTATTCTTTATCATTTATCCTTCTCATATAACTTGTATATTTTAAAAGTAAATGTGCTATAGGAGTTCCCCGACCGATTTCAAAATTCTAAGTCATTTTTCCCCAGATTCTACGGAAATAATACGATGCACGACGAAATGCCCCATAAGAGCCCATGTAAAGCAAAGTGGATTTTTCCCCAGATCTACGGACTTTTTTCGTGAATTTTAAGGTCCATTCTGGTCATTTTTGTCTCTTTCAAGGACATCCATCTCTGACCAGTGAGAACGGCGATTCTGGTGACCCACCCTTTAAAAACACCTTTTATAACAATATCAAAAATGTAGAAGTGTATCAGAAAAATGTATTTCATCAACATCATGCAAGAAATTTTAATCTGGTGCCTTTTTTATGCGAAAAAATTATTTTAATTTCATCAACTTTGGAAGGATATATTATCTCTCTTAATATATATTGAGGGATATTAGTTTTTTCATCAAACATCAATTATTTTTCAATGTACAATCACCTTCAGAAAGGTCGGTTCACATTTTTGACCCTTTATATTTAGTGTCTCGCTGCGACCCCGACTAAACTTTTTACATGCGATGCGCAGTTGCCATATTTCTCAGCACGGCTTGTTTCTAGAGCTAGCTGTGGTGCTCGTTCAACTTTGACGTTACGTTTTCCAGTTCCGTTATACCAATACACGTAATCAGCGTCGTAGAAGTCCTTATGTTCGTTCTGGCCGTTATGCTGCACGGTCGACAAGTGGAATGGACTGCACGACTGGACTTCCTCTGGCAGATCCAAGCCAACGAAGAGAAGCGAGAAATGGACGCTTTGCAACACTCGAACAAGAGGATACTGTTCAATCTGCTGCCTGCCCACGTGGCTACGCACTTTCTGGATAACCAGTTCCGTAACAATATGGTGAGTGGAAATGATTTTTGTTTCAGTCCCTTTTGTCGTTTTCTATCTGTATGTGTAGGCAACATTCTTGTTTCCTTCTGCTTGTTTGTTTGATGTTTGTTGATGGAGTTACTGTCACGTTTTCTTTCTATTCATGTTTTCCTTCCTCAGTTGCACCCTTGAGCAAAAGTGATCATGAAATTAAATCGTATCTGATACACAACTGAGGTGAAATAAGTTTTTCGGAATTCAGTGAAAGTTTCAGTGATATTGGATTATTTCATCCCAGCGAGCACAAAATTAGTAGGGACAATGTAATGTGGCTAAAAGGATTGACAAGGTTGTTGATTCAAAAGGCAAAAACACCAATTTCTAGAAAAAAAATATTAAGATCCCCAAAGACATGCTCCCGTTGAAACCCGACGCAAAACCAACGGTACTGACGTCACAAGAACTATAACGTGCCGACCGTCTATTGGTCGAGAAAAATCATTAATAATAAACAGCGTTTCCGTCTCCAACGATTCTTTAGCTTGTTTGGATATTTCAACATTCATCGATCACAAGATTTAACTGATGGTATGGATGAACAACTGATTTAGACAGTTTTCTCATAAACCGGATTGTGACATATTATGACAAAGTGATATTATCAGAATTTAAGGTATATTGAAGTGACAAGTATATGAAAATGATTATACATATGGTGTTTTTGAACTAAACGAGAAAAAAAAAATTAGTTACGTCAAAATTGCTACAGTGTAGAACTTGAGGTGCAAAAAGGGATCTCACCCCATATTCTATTCTGATCCCAATATTTTTTATTGGTGCCATTCGATAGTATATCTGGAGCTTCATCAGGGTTTGAAATATTTGCACTTACTTCAATGCCACCCTGTAAAAACCTTGGTATGAATGTATAATTAAGGTTTGGACCAAATTTTGTCGCTACTGATTAAACCTACAATATGCTGCCTACTAGATTAGGAATCATGTCAGGATATAATTAAAGTTTATATCCTGACATGATTGTAGATTGTAGAGTAATGATGGTAAAACCGATAGTTGACAGTTGGATTGATTCCAAAAATATTCACTAGATATTTCCTTGAAATAAAACAGCTGGCAACACAGGAAAGTAGACTATGAAGTCAGTACTGGATAGAGGGGTTTGCCGTCTAACTTTATGTTTGAAAGTTCCTCAAACTGTAGGGTATTCAAATGATACCAAAGAAGGGATGATTTGTATTTCGTGCAAAATAATTTATTCAATATTCGTAGCAGAGCGCTTTCGACTGTTAAGTCATCATCAGTGCGTACTCGTCAGGTTAACAGGAAAATTCGTCCTGAAATTCAGATTTCTTCCAAAAGTTTCAAAAGTTGCAATGATAAAAAAAATATATTTCTAATACTTTTGCTCTAAGTGCAACTATTCTTCTCGATCTTCAAATGTTGGCTGCACAAGAAGGGTCCCCATACAGCAATCTCGAACATTCTCTTACAGAACACTCTATCACAGGAACTCTATCACCAGAGCTACTCTCGTGTCGGAGTCGTTTTCGCTTCTATCACAAACTACCATGAATTTTACACCGAACTGGATGGCAACAACCAGGGTGTCGAGTGCCTGAGACTGCTCAATGAAATCATCGCGGATTTCGATGACTTGCTGTCCGAAGAACGATTCAAAGTAAGTAATCTTCAACAAAATTGTTCATTAAGAGAGAAACTCAAAGTCATTAGCACAATAGTTTATGGAAAGAACGAGAGAAAAACAACTACTTCCTAAACGCTGAGCTGCGCCTAAGTGGTTCAGGAACGCCTGACTACCAGCTGACCGGTTTCGAGCTGTTGGCTCTCATCAGTGTAGGGCTGTCCCAGATAGTTTCTTGACCGCTATCTGGTGCGAACCTGACCCAACAGAAACGCATCTCAGCATTTATATCCCACAAGGCGTTCAACGTCCGCGAACTTTCTTTCCTCACCAGGTGGCCTTCGGCGTTCGCGTTCATTTCATTGATATGGATATCCATCAAGTAACGGCCGAGTCAATTGAAAAAAAAGACATATTATTGTCACTGGTGCCCTAAGATTAATATTTGTTCTACTATTTTCACAGTAGAATGTCATTTCATGTCTAGTACTTAGGAGTGGAGTGTGGAAATTGTTATTTTTTTAAACGGGAGCACATGATATCTTCTTATGTATCAAGTTGTATAGAAATGAAACTGTGATAATGATGCGTCGTGTGTTCAAAGATATATTATTGAATTGAATCAAGAAAATCGAATAATCAGTTCCTCTTTGGGGATATACTTCACATATACTCTTGTAACTTCAAAAGTCAAATGCTTCAAGAATTTTTGAACTGATTAAATGTGACTTATATGTTAATTACAGACAGGATACCATATTAACGCTCCATATTCTAGTTTAGACCTTACATATGCATTGAAAAGTGTTATGAATGTACTTGTATTTGTACATTCTTTCATATTTCTCATTATGAAACCTAGCATTCTATTAGATGATGAAACAGCCTGGTCTATGTGTGATACAAAATTGAATTTTTGTCCTGAACCACGTTGATTGGTTATTGTTAATTTCGTAAGAAAATTCTACTATGTTATTCTTTTAGAAAGTGATGAAATATGACATTTATAAATATTCAGATGTAAATGATTACTCGAGCCCCAATTGAAAACTATGCCGATCTCATTCTGTAAAATTAGACAATCTTCATATTCTTCAATAACTTCAAACAGCTTTAAGTCATCGGCGTAAAAATTTTTTCAGCAATTGATATCTTTAGCTGAATCATCGATAAAGAGCAGGAATAATTGGGGCCCCAAGTTAGAACCTTGTGGAACTCCCGAACGAGGGGTGTATAGGGGTGACTGATAATTTTCATATTCGACATATATTATTGCTTCCTATTTAAAAAATAACTAGTGAACAATTCGATCAAACTCTCAGAAAAGCCAAATCATGATAATCGATTGAGGAGAATGTAAAAATCAATTTGATCGAATGCTTTTTGCATGACCGTTTAATCGACGTCAACTTGTTTTATTTCATTCGGGGAAAACCTGATAAGTCATCAATTTATTCGTCGATCGGTATTGGTAAATAGGTTCAACGTTTTTAGAGGTTAGACTTGTTGTATAAATCGTTGCTTATTGAAATAAGCCCTAATTATATTACTGCGATATTTAATGATCGTAGCATCGTTGTGGCCAAATATTGTTTCCATTTTATTCAATCAAAGTTAGATAACCAGAAGTGGAAGGCGGCAAATCTGAAAGAAGAATTCAAAAAATACTGCAACGGCCACTGCGATATTATGGTCATTTATAGAAGCCCTGTAGTAAGACATCAATCAGGTAAAAGACATTGAATTATAACTATTTCACATATATTTCCAATGTAAATGGGGAAATTGAAACTAACCTCGAAAATGAGTGTCAATCTAAACCAGTTTGCTTTTTCTGTTGCTAAATTCACTCAAAAATCAGTTCACCATCAATTCTTCATCCTATAATGTCACTATGGTGCAGATATACATAAGCAACATAGTATGTATGTGTATATCTAACATATTTTATGTAGGATAGGAGAACGTTTTCTCTTAGGTAGTATATTATATACCTTGGAAAAATGCGTATCACCCAAAAGATACGTGAGTGATAAGATGGTTTGAAGTAAATTGAAACACTCGGGATTTTGGGCAAACCTTTTATATTAAAACCTATTTTCTCTCTTAAGGCTCTAGATAAGATCAAAACTGTAGGGTCGACCTACATGGCTGCTATCGGATTGATGCCAGATTTGAGGATTTTGGACGACGACGAGTCCACAGCAGGGATTCATCTGAGTACGCTGGTGGAGTTTGTGTTTGCCATGAGAGATAGACTTCTGAATATCAACGAGAACTCGTACAACAATTTCATGCTCAGAGTTGGTTAGTATCCGTCTGCAAAGTAGCCGTTGGTAATACAGGGTGTTTTGTTAGTACGTGTAGAAAATTCAGGAGCATGTTGCCAGTTCCAGAAATTCTCTTATTCTTGAGTTTACTTATTCTCAGTTGGCCATGGCGCCCGCAGTTGCGTTGGAAACAATCAACTGCCACGGAAATGTCATTGTAATCAATCATGCTGGTCCGTTTGAATTGTTCGAATGGAGATTACTTAAATCTATTTATTATTTTTAACTGAGACATGTTAATTACACAATATTTCGGAAACTGTTGAGTGTAGGCATAGATAACCTTATTCAAAGTTAGCTTCATGTTCGATGCCGAATCGAATGAGAATATAAAATTGGGAAGTTTCCATTTGAAAAAATTTACTTACAATAATTTTCTCTACCGGATCTATATCATTTTCTGGTGAATTCTACTGAACTGGGTCCTCTCCTACGAATAAATCGATATACAATCGAAAATAAATAATTATGTCCAGAAATAAAAAAAATATTCAAATTTGGCCCATCTATGGTTTTCTATATATTGATCGATGCAGTTCCCGAAGGGACAGCCTGTATGTCCGAAAGTGTTTAGTTTCTGAGATACAGAGGGTCAAAGTTGAATTCTTATTTTTATTTTTTGTTAATAAATTTCAAAATAATTGTGATATTTGAATGAAGTTCATCGGCATGAGTTCGGATCAGGAAAGTTTGGATTCCGGTATAGAAATTGCGGCGAATGCAGCAATCGAAACTTCAGTATCTGCTAAATTCATGATGAATCGGTTCCTATTTCTTTTTTGAGTAAAAATAAAATTTCATTTTTTTTTCTTTACCGATACTAAATCAGTGTCGTAATGGTAGTAGAAAAAGTATATTTATAGTGAATTTTCGTAGGAATCAACATTGGCCCGGTGGTGGCGGGCGTGATAGGTGCCCGCAAGCCCCAGTACGACATCTGGGGCAACACTGTCAACGTCGCTAGTCGCATGGACTCCACCGGCCTGCCCAATCACACGCAAGTCACCGAGGAGGTGTTCCAGGTACGAATTCGAATCCATTTGGACCGGTCCAAAGGATGGTCGTTCTAAAAATGAAAACCCCTTTTGTTCGCGCATAAACGAATTTTCCTATATAATATTTTTCTATTTCATCATTCAATCAATTTTCCGCGCTAAAATCACACACAGGGGCTTTCCTTGCTTTTGGGAACGCACGCAGGTGAAGACACCAGGAGATAGGTGGTCATCATTTCATCAGAAAAACTATTTCAATCACTTGTAAACAAATAAGAAAAGTGAGGTTGTGTTTCAATGTTGTTCCTCCAGGGTCGGTCAAGAACATTTCTAGAATTCACAGAAATGAGGCTAGGAGGAAGCATGAAGAAGAAACTGTTGTTTATGCAATGACAAAGTTCTAGATTAATTGATGTTATTTGATGAATTTGAATATGAACTGGAAATTCAGTGTTATGATAAAACTTGTATCATTAAAACCATATGCTTAGTATTTTAATGACTTTGATGATTGCAAATCGAATCAGGAGCACATTTATATAATATGTAGCTTCTAGCCTCTCCCATTTGGCCATTTCTGGCGGTAACTAACTGACTAAAAACACTTGACATTGACACATAGAGAATTCTGACAGACATGTCTTTTAACGGTGTTACCAACATAACTAAGCATTAGGAACTACTCAATCACAACCTAAGACTTTGACACAAAACTACTGTTCACACTTAATCGGACTCGGACTTATGTTATGATCCACGATTCAGTCAGTCACAGTTATTTTCCTCACATCATGATGTCAGTGAAAAGTTCAACAATAAATACAAGTCACACGATGAAATAGCTAGAATAAAGCGTATGCAAATCTCAAGAAATAATGTCAACAAACAACACACTCTTTGCCGTTTTGAAGCAGCTCCCCCAAAGGTCGATCACCTTGCCAAATAGTCGACAAGTTTGAGTCATATGACGTCACTGACAGGGCCTATTCGTGTTCCAGGTGCTGCGCTCCTACCCGTACGAGTTCCAGTGCCGTGGCAAGGTGAAAGTGAAGGGCAAAGGGGACATGACGACGTACTTCCTGGTGGACAGGAAACAGCCGGGGACGATGCGGATCGAGGAGCTGAACAGCATGAGGGCGAGCGCGAATAATTCGAACAGTAAGTCCGGTTTGGTAATAGGAGATGGGCAAAAGATCACACACAATCTAGATAGACACTGTAAATGTGAGGATGGGCTACGCTTAGCTGGGACGTAACAAAGCGGTGGGTTATCTGCTGTGCGATAATAATATTGTCAAGAAGTATAAATGCCTATGAATTTACATAACTCTAACTCTCGTTCATTTCAAGATCTTTCATCATAAATTAACTTTTTCAAATTGTAACATCCAGTACATTGTAGTTTCGATCAGGTCAGCGGAGTTTATAGACGTCAGTTCCTTTGAAATTTGCAAAAAAAACGCTCACCGTGCGATAATACCTAGGTAAGCGATATCGAAAGGTAACGGCCATTCCCATTGCGGAAAATTGTGGACCTAGCATCGATTCCGAATATAAATAGTAGCCGAGTTGATAAGGCATCATTATTATCAATACAAGTCATTATTAATTATAAATTGAAAATGTTCGAAGTCTCTCCGACTTTAATCCTGCTGGTCAACCCCATGCTAGACGTTGAAATGTAAGTACTGTTATTTTTTCAAGTGTTGTTTTGCGTTGTGTTTCATTAGGCAAGCCATTATGTTCTTTTTTCTTTGCTATGCTATGTCAAATTTTATATGAAAACTGTCTTGACTGTTTATTTGGGGATGAATGTGGTTGAGTGGTGAAATGATTGAAACCTCTCGTCAGAAAGCCAAGCGAGGCTATACAACATGGTTTATTTCATCTTGATATCGCTAATTCTTCTATAGACCAGAAAAGATTCTTCCACGCTGCCCTCTTGGGATATAACAAATTACCAGATAATATAAAAAATTGCAGAAATACATCATTTCTGAACTTTTGATTCATATTCAAATCGATTTTTGCTCACCAATATGAAATGATTTGTCAAAATTTAATACTTAATGTTTTCAAGTATTGTATTATTTATGATTCTATTATAATTGTATAGTTTAAGGTATTATTGTTAACTAAACTTCCTTTTACCAGAACTTGATTCTGACTGGAAGTCACATTTTCAATAAATAAATAAATAGAATGCCGCATTATTCCAGACATAAACAACATGTACGGCGGCGTGGCCACGCCCCTCGCCCTCCTCCACCACGCCGACCCAGCAAACCACGGCCGCGCCAAGCACCACCCCGCGCCCCTCCCGATGCGCGACCACGCCCCCATACGCCTCCCACCTCTGCGCGAGACCGCCGTCCACCTGTTGAGCGGTCCGCCCATGCGCGAGACCACCGCCCACCTGTTGAGCAGCTGTGAGAACGAGCCGCTGCTGCCTAGCGCGCGTCTCAGCCAGAAGAAGGTAGGGGCGGAGGAGGGGCTGCCGGGCCCGCCCCCGTTGCCGCCCCACAAGAACGGACAGCGGCAGGGCGGTGCCGAGGCGAAGTACAACCCACCGTGGCCCAGGGGACAGCAGGTAGACGGTGCGAAGCCGTATTTGAAGCCGTTGCCGAGGCCGCCGGGCAAGGAATCTCCGAATAGACATAGGTAAGTGCAAGAAGCCTCATGGGAAATATTGTAAGAAGTCGTGGAAACCATCCATTTTCTCAAAGTGGTCCAGAATTTTTCAAAGGAAGAATACAAAAATCCCAAAGTCGGTCGACCACAACACATTTATTGCATAAGACGTGTTACTAGGTTCAGCACTCGGCCATCATCAGACACATAATGTAAAGCACCTGTGAGGAACAACGATGAAAAATTCACAAAAGCTACTGATGAGAGGAATCTTACCATGTGCAGCAATAATTTGGTTAAACACATTGAAATGGGGGTTGTCAGCCGGAAAAAAGAAATCCTAATTGTACAATACTAATTTATAGCGGCTGAACAACCAGAAATAGTTATAACCAATCGGGTTGAACATTAGAAGAAATTAATGGGATTAATTGAAAAAATATTTTAGTCAAAAACAATTATCTCAATGAATTTTTGAGTGATTCCTTCTCGAATAATTGAATGATTTCATATGGGGAGGTGCGCATCACTATTAGTAGTCAATGAAAGCTAAATATCATAGGACGGCTCTTATTCCTCTCCGACTGATCTTATAAGAGAGTTTTTAGGCTTCAGAAAAAGGTACCAACATTCATTCATTCATTCATCAAACGTTTTCTGATATAGCGCTGTTCTCAAAGAATGCTGATGTCCATAATCATTCTACGAGAGCATCAAGTAAACTCAGAACTCTTAAATTCAGACTATCTGTCACTGAGCAAAATTCTATAAATGTCAGATTGTTTAATGTTTCACCACCAGCTGTTAAATCTTCAAATTTTATCCAATTCAAGAAATGGGTAAAAAATCATTCATTTTCACATGCATTCTATTCAATTGACCCTGTATACCTACGATTTATTCAATAGCATATTTCGAGTGAGCATCATCAAATATACTGGGTGACCAAATTTCAAGTCATTCGATCGCGCGGTTGATTTTTTACAAGGGGGGACATTTTGCTGGGACTTGCCATAAACATATAACTCATGTAAAGTGGTTAAATAAAATTTTATCCATCTATCTATCTATAATTGTTTAATATCGAAAAAAATATCGAAATGGTGACACATCATATCGTCGTTTTTCTTCCAGGAAACACCACATGCCGCCTATTCCGCCCTACCCCCCTCAACCCCACCACCGTACCCCCGAGCGTACGCCCGAACCGCTCCGCCACCAAATCCACGCGCGTCACAACCCACTCGCGCACGCCCGCCTCTCCCCCCTCCACCACGGCCGTCGACACAGTCCACTGCAGCGCCACTACTCGGACGAGAGTCTGGGCGGGGCGTACAACGCTGGGGGCGGGGCCAATAATCCCGCCCATCGAGTCCATTCGTCGGCCGACGAGATCAGCTCGCTGAACCACTCGCCGAGCATCAGCAGCTCGGACGAGAGCTACAGCAGGACGACGGACGCGGATGCGAGTCCTTGTGTGTCGCCGCCGCTTCACGGGGGGGATGCGCAGCAGTTTCTCTTTCCCTCGGATATACAGGTTCGTTACTCCCTTACAGGCCTATTCAGTAAAAAGTCGTTAGATAACAACTAGAGTTCCTAAATGTACTTGACACTGATGTCTTGACACTGCTGTTTTGACCTTTTTCTGTATATTAGAGTACGGACACTATGACAAGCAGTGACAATCAAACATAACCACAAACGATTTTGAAGCAAATCATATGTTTTGCCAGACAAGGACAAGAATATGTTTTTCGCTTAGATAAGGGATCCTCGCATCTTCAATCCTTCACAAGTCCTGGGAAGAGTACATCCATATATCTTTCTCTGTCTTTGATTCTTGTATGAGAGTGCATAGCGTCTCCTCGAGTGGGTAAAAGGGTACGATAAATTGATTAGAAAGTTATTTCTTCTCGGAATATTGAATGATAAGGCTGAAGGACCTCAATGGAGGTCAATATCAAGTTGGTTTGTACTTATATACCAACGAAATACAAATACTATTCCTATGAAATAAGTCTCAAATGTAGGTATATATATATATATAACAGTATGATGCAAATGTATGGAATAAATTCATTATTTCAGAAATGGGCGACATTTTAAAAAATTCCAAAAACAGGTAAGGTTTCATTTTTGAAGCCTCATCTCATGATATCCATATGAGAGATGTTACGTCACCGGTGTAGGAGCAATGACGTAATGAACGATTTTTTCAAATGAAAACAGGGGTCATGTGACACCTCGTTTGAAAGGTCTACTGATCGTCTATTCAACAGTCAACAGTTTGCATAATAAAATTGAAATTAAAATGGCTTATCATTTGATTAACTGAATCTTGCAGAGGTCTGCTACTGAGAATTGAACAACGAAGGGTCGTCTATTTAAAAAAATAAATCAATTAATAAAGTTCTGAAGTCTAGTTTTTGGATTTTTTCGGAAGTCGTCTTGTTTTGAAATGAATTTATTCCATACATTTGCATCATACTGTATATATATATACGTTTGGTTGAATATTTTTTCATCACAAAAGTTCGGAATGGGGTAGAAACTGATAAATTTCAACCAATGAAACATACTTTTATTTCGTATGGAACAATTTCACCCCTACAACTTTTTTGTTTATACATATAAACATTCGAAATTTGGTGTGTTTGTATAGTACATAAATATGCATCATTTGACGTATTCAATTGTTTTCTGTCATTTCCGGTTTGACTGGAAATGACCCATATTTTCTTACTTAAATGGGACACCCGGTGTATTTTCACTTATTTCGATAGAAAATAACATTGTTCGTACAATGACACCGTATTTGCCACTTTTTGACATTTATCATCCTGAAATATTCCTGAAGTTTTACTTTTCATTCGTTTCACAGTTTCATTCAAAATTCACAAGATCTTTATTATGATGATAACTCGATTTTTTCCAATACAACCAGGGTGGCTTATTACAATATTTGAAAAGGGTATTTTGTTACGAACACGTTGTCGATATTTTGAATCAATATCCATTATCAAAATCACTCTATATTGACCATTGAAAAATACAAATTTCAGTGTAATAAATGTCAAAAAGTGGCAAATGGGGTGTCATTGTACTCACAATGTTATTCTCTATCGAAATAAGTGAAAATATACTGGGTGTTCCATTTAAAATAAGAAAATATGGGTCATTTCCGGTCAAACCGGCAGTGGCCAAAAAATAATTGAATGAGTCAAATAATGCATATTTATGTACTATACTTACATACCCGAATTCATTTGTTCATTGGTAGAAACAAAAAAGTTATAGGGGTGAGCCACTTATGAGAAACACCCGGTATATCGAGTATTTTTTTTTCGTGGGAAAAAGTAATTCATGAAAAGTGACATTTTATAAGCTGCCAACAGAGAGAAACTATTTTTAATATACTTGGCGATTAAAGCTATCTAGCTGAAATATCTGTATATGATTTTGAATTCGTTAAAAAACTGTTAATTCCAGTTGAATAACGGGCAGTAAATCCAACTACATAGTCCTATCGGTCCTAGCAAAGAAAACATCACTGCACCCTCGAGTAGTAGACTGCTAGTGATGTTTCAAATTAAAATATAGACCGCAGCATCATACTTTTGGCTTTCGACTTCCGTTTTTTTCAATTCGGGTAAAGTAATCTTTGAATAACTAAAAAATAATGCATATTATTTCTTTGAAACAGGTAAACCCATTATCCTCTCCAGAAGTATCTCCTAGGGCTTCCCTGGATTATATACCGCCCAATTGTTCCTTGAGGAATAATGTAGATGTGAAGAGGAGTAATTTGGCACCGAACGCTCTGCTAGCATTGGCTGGTAATTGTAATACAGTCGAGAGTTCTATTGTTACAAGTCCACCTATTCTGCATGGTAAGAGAATTAATAATTTTCGTAATTACTATCAATCAGATGCGTAATCGTTAGGTACCGTGACTAAATTTGTGTAAATTTTGATATTTAACAATTATGACATTATAACAGAAACATGATTTTCAGCTATCACTATTATTTTATCTTTATTATAAATTGGCATTCGACTCATTCAAAATATCCCGAGCAGTAATCACTAGTCGGCAATATTTTATATTTATCCACCAACGGGCATATCTTGAAATGCCAGAGCTGCAGCATGGTGAGTGGTGGTGTGATGTACAGCCCTAGCACAATAACCTCCAACAATTGTATCTTTGGCCTGGTCAATATTCTGTTCAAGTTAAACAAGTCGTTGTTCTCAAGGAGAATGGATGCATACGGGTTGTTCGTTCTGAATCACATATTACGCTTTCTGAATCACAATTAACTGATCCGAATTTCAAGTTATACTTTCTGAATTACAATTGAAAAAGGTGTAGTTGTATTCAATAAATTACCACATAATATAAAAAATTGCAGACATAGTTCAAAATTTGAAATTGAATTGGAAAAAAACAGAATTTCATTTTTGATTGGAAGCTAGTTTCTCAATAAACAATAGGTTAGTTGAGTTTACAATTGTTTCCAGACGGCGAGGACAGCTGCAGGGGCGAGAGCTGCGCCAGCTTCGAGTTCGTTACAAAACCGCCGTCTCTGCTGCGCACCGTCAGCACCAATGGCACCAGAGGCGTACTGGCCTCGAAGAGGATCCTCGACACGGACAAGGGCCGGTCTAGGGTCCTGTACGTATCTAAAACCCTTGATTATTCATACTATCAAGATCAACCATCCTTATGAGAGCAATCATTTCAAAACTTTCCACCCTGCATATCTTCTGATCTGCGAGGATTACAATTCTTGGCAAAAACAGGTCGATTTAGATATCGAGGGGGAAGTGAAATAACAGTATCAATTGAATGCTATGTTCACCCCCTGACACCCCTACTTTGAAATCTCAAATGGCACCCCCTACTTTGAGATACATAAAATTTAAGGTCTATCATTGATCAAATCAACCAGGTGAAATAGTTATTTATTATACAAGGGAAAAAAGTAGTAGATTTTAGCTCCAGGTTGTGAGCTAAAATCTAATGTTTTACCCGTGTTTAATGCACTATTCTCGTCTGTGACAGAAGAAAGAACGAATCGATATTGAGATGATATTACATTATTTTGAAATCTGAAAATTATCGACGTGAAATTTTAAGTTTTTAACAGTAGGGACACCTACGTTGTAGGCATCTTTATCATTCTTTTGAAGTAATCACATATCTGATGTCACTTCTGTCAGTCTAATACTGTGATTTGATTTCAAAAAATTGCGAATTTAGTGGTTGTTCAGTAATATACGTAACCGCGAAGTCGAATGGAAGATAAAAGCACTTGCAGTTCTTTCTCGGAGACGGTATCATTGACTCATTTTTCGGAACTGTAACAACAAAAGCCATCAACATTGTATATACAGGGTGGGCCACCAGTAACGCCTCGGTCTCTAGAAGGCTAACCACTTATCTTCTTGGAATTCTTCCTGTCTAGGAAGTTGCATGTCAACATAGGCTACCATTTAAAATTATTTTGAAACATACAGGATGTCCCCAAATATCACAAAACACTGAAGTTGAACTTTTTTCAATCGAACACCCTATATATTATTTCTTTTTGAGATTCTCCCTGGTGAGCTGATTTCAACAATCCATCATACTTGGGTCTAGCAGTTATAATTACTGAGATATATGGTGTGAGAAATCGAGATTTTCCAAGTTCAAGAATTTTTTGTGTCTAAACCATTCATAATTAGTCAAAACGGCTCACATGTCCCTATCTCAACTTTTGATCTACTATCTACTGACATTTAATTGAAACAAATACAGGGTGGTGCAGAATTCAGAATCTTGATCACCCGGTATATGTCCCAATTAAATATCAGTAGATAGTTAATCAAAAGTTGAGACAGGGACATGTAAGCCATTTTGACCAATTATGAATAGTTTCGACACAAAAAATTCTTGATCTTGAAAAATCTCGATTTTTCACACCCTATATTTCAGTAATTATAACTGCTAGACCCCAAGTATGATGGGTCGTTGAAATCAGCCCATCAGGGAGAATCTCGAAATGAAATAATATATAGGGTGTTCGATAGAAAAAAGTTTAACTTCAGTGTTTTATGGTTTTTGGGGACACCCTGTATGTTTCGAAATAATTTTAAATGGTAGCCTATGTTGACATGCAACTTCCTAGAGAGGAAGAATTCCAAGAAGATAAGTGGTTAGCCTTCTAGAGACCGAGGCGTTACTGGTGGCCCACCCTGTATATGTGATATATATCCGGGAAAAAAGTGACATTAATAATCAACAACTGTCTAGTAACGATTGTCTTCTTTAACTACTGAGTGTTCTGTATAATATTGTGATCGGGACACAACATAACTAAAGCCACATTTGGCTTAAATATTTTACATGGAGGTGGATCGTCTTGTTAGTCTAAATAATCAATGCTCATACTATACATGTTATTTCAGGATTTTATTCATACCAGTGTTTGTTTCATACATATTTCGATTTTTGAATGGATTTGATTGGTCTAGGATCGACGGCGATTCGGTGCTCGAGGGCAACAAAGTTGGCGCGAACTGCAAAAGGTCGCCCAGCTTCAAGGAGGTGGAGGAGATCCGGCAGCTGCTGCGGGAGGAGGAGGGCAGGACGACGGTGAGCAGCGACAGGAGTTCAAAGAAGGTGGGGAATGATTCGTTAATTTCTCGATTTATATAGAATAATTCGATAATTGAAAGTATCAAACCAAGTCTCTAAGCTCTGAACTCAACAGAGCTTAGAGCTCAGAGCTGTCATCATAAAAAAAATCTGGCACTATTGCAGTTCCTGAATGTACGTGACACTGTCTGTTTCGAGGTTTTTGTATATTAAGAGTACGTACACTGGTCAAGCAGTGACAGTGAGACAACCAAAAATAATTTTGAAGGAACTCATATGGGACAAGGACAAGAATATCTTTTTCGCTTATATAAAGGCTTCTCGCCCTTCTTCTACATGTTCCGCGAAGAGGTTAATAATAATAATAACATTTATTTGTAATACATTGCTACAATTCCTAAATTGTTACCCATTTCTAAGTAAATATTGTTATCAATAAATGTAGGCATATTATATTTTAAAGTAACAATTATTCATTGGAGATTATGAGAGAGTTAATATAAATCGTTTTATAGTTTCTATCATTTGCATGAACAGACAAACAGTATTCATACTGGTATAAGACTGTTCATGATATTGCTTTTATAATTAAACAATATTATTTCATTGAATGTAACTTTTAGAATTACAAAAAATATATAAATTCAATTGAACATTACTAAAAAAAATAAAAAGAAAGAGAAACAAAGAAATAAACCACTTGAATTCAATTTCTTTTTTGAAGAAAATATTTTTTTATTTTTATTTTGAATTCAGTAATATTCCTAGAATTTTTTATGTCTTGTGGTAGTTCATTAAATTTTGAAAGTGCTCCGTGCGTAAATCTCTTTTGACCAATTACACAGTTTGCAGAATCAAGATGGAACAAGTTATGTTGTCTTGTATTATAATTGTGAATTTCTGAATTTCTAGTAAATATAAAATTAGATTTCATCATTTTATTGATAATAAGATATGATAATTTGAGAGTGTCCATTGCATAATGTTCCTCCAAAGAAAATGTGTTAGTCATGGAATAAAGTTGATTTGTTGGAGTGTCAAATGGTAGACGATACAGTACTTTCAAAGCTTTTTTATAAACAGCAGAGATTTTATTGAGTACATCCATATATCTTTCTTTGTCTTTCATTTTTGAATGAGAGTGCATAGCGTCGACCCAAGTGGGAAAAAGTTAACGATAAATCGATAAGAAAATTATTTCTTCTTGAAATATGGAATGATAAGGATGAACGACTTCAATGAAGGCCAATGGAAAGTTGGTATGTACATATACACCAACGGACATATACTATTACTATGAAATGATGATAAACTGAGCTGAAAGTATCTATACTTGACGTTCATAGTGGGTCAGTTGAATAATTGTTGTAGCAAAAATGTTCATAATGGGGTAACAATAGATTAATTACAACTAATAAATAGTAGATTGTTTTATTATGATCAAAAGTGACACTTTGTTTAACAAGCGAATTTTGCATTTGCGAGTAAAACAAAGTCACCGAAAGAATTAACTAAAATAAATATATGAAGTAACCACCAATGTGACTTACTTGACAGATTATTATAATACCTTTATTATAATAATATAGGTAAGTAGATAGAAGCAAGACCTCAGACTACTTTACATTAGAATATTGGTGGACGATGACTTTACTTTGTTACAATTTGTGTTGACATGCATCATCAGATACTACAGGCACGAATTCAATACTTTACCCGAAACGTGGATGCCGTGCCATATGTATGCAATGCTACAAATAGTCCGTGTGGTGAGAATATTCTACCTGCATTTACAGATCAGGTTTATTCAATTTTCGAGGATGGTCGAATTGTAGTTTCAATATAAATACAACCACAGAGTGACCCATTTGTGTATTCTATTGAATCGATGAATTCATTTGGAACAGGTGTCAGCCCTAATAGCAAATACTCACTCACACTCACTCTTTTGAAATATGCAATAAAATAAAGGATTTGAAAATATTAAACATTTCCACACACCCTGTATGTGGAATGGGGATATAATGTTTGGAGGGCACCATTTGAAAGAGAAAAAAATCTGATTCAAGATTTTGTTTTGAAGTTTTCAATATCTTAATTAGTTTTTGAGATATTGAATATTGGAAACGTGAAATCCATAGCCAATTACCCTACATCAGTATTCCACGAGATGACTAGTTTTCAAAAAATATCCAATATCTACACAGTTGGAAAAAACTTTTCACAAATTCTTCAATTTGACAAATCTCTGAAATTAATGTCATGTACTGTCAGTTCCCGCTTTTTAAGGAACTCAATTGAAAATCAAATATTCAGTAACAGCTAACAATATTATGTTGATATTTCCTCATTTTTCAGTTCATCCTTTATATGTTGAGTCTATTGTTGCCAGTCTATAAACAAAGGGTGGCGCTTCGATAATCATTTGATTCCGAATTGAAAAAATGAAAATAAAAAAAATATTACAACCTAGTCGAACCTACTATTGTCTAGGGGTCACATAATTGAAATACATCCAATTCTTCCATTTCATTGAGAAAAAAATCGATAATTATCGATATATTGATAGTTATCGATATTATTGAAATTATATATCGATATATTTATTAATATATCGAAATTTTTCCCAGGCCTGCTTTCAATAATATTTATACATATCGTATTCAATTTCAATTTCCTTGTCATATTTCGGCAAATGTTCATTATTATTCCTATATTTTTATAAAGGATGGTTGTTGCCAAACGGATAAAAAGGATCTGAGAAGCGTAAGGTTGAGTCCTACAGCCGGGTTGCGGGAGAAGTTATCGCCCATTGGGAAAATTAGCAACATTCCTTTTGAGAGGGAGATTCAGAAACTTCTGGACGAGCAGAACCTGTTGCAGAACATTCCTCCGAAGTTGGAACTCAAAGATCTGGCATTGGAGCCACTTGTGAGGTAACATTTTTGTTTTTTTTTTCGTACGGGATTATCGAAAATGATTGAATGGTACATGACCACAGTGTGTTTGCAATCAACATTAAGGATAATAATAATGATAATGAAATTGATCTGATGGAGTTTCTGCTATATTCAAATGCTGTCTGTAGGTTAATCAAGGAAGTGGAAAATTCATTTTATTAAATTTTTCAGGCCTATCTTTGGACGTTTCGGGAACGAATCTGCTCTCGTTTGCAACATAAAAAATGGATTTTTTGTAGGGCAAATTCGTATTTGTCTTGAAATATCATGAGATATTTGATAAATCAAACTGGTCAGTACTAGGGTTCCTTGATGTAAATTGACGTATTTGTCAACTTAACAAGGTGCGGACAGATCCTCGTCTCCTCTCACTCTAAAGTGTTTGTGAAACAGTTATATAGTTCCATCTTTATTAATTTCTGGGGATAAACACTAGATTTCTGACATTTATTGTTTTTTAGGTTATATTGAGGACATTGGCGTATCATACGTAATTTCCACATGTAATTTCTCATTCAACTCTACATATCATATTCAAATGATGATGAAAATTTTCAAGTTTATGATTTTCCAACTCCAGCATAAGCTTTGTTAGGCACTGAGCAAATTTTTCTGAAAGTTTAATATGTTTTACCAAATAGGACTGTTCTTATAGGCAGTATCTATCAATGAATGAATTTTGATTCTAGACTAAGCTTTATGGTTGAGAAATGGTGAAAAATCTTGTGTAGGTATTTAAACTAATGTGCTCATATGTCATGTGTGCTGTATATATTCATGTTGGGAGTCATTTTTGCATTTTTTCACGAGCACTCAATATTTCCTGAATGTGTGTATAATTTTTTAAATGGTAGGGCATATGCCTCTTCTTTTAATCCTCCGTTTTAATCAAAACTGTTTCTACTCATATGCATTCGAAAACCTGAGTGGATAATTATAGGCACAATGAGAAAGTGTAATATGTGATTTCGTATTAGTTTTCCCTCGAATATTTTGCTGATGTATTAACCAATTTTCCCCATTCGGTCACTTCACTTTCCATGTTCTGAATTCATTTGCATTTGATGGATAGCTGACAAATTCAAATTTGCCATCTAACTGATTGATACAGCCTAACGCAGCACATTTTGCCATCCTTCCAAAACAGATTTGAATAATGTCATATTGAGATCAAGTATGAAATTGAAATTTTGTAAGAACTCTTTTAACGCCTATGAATGTAACGTGACAGCAATGTCATGTCAGGGACGCCAATACACGAAACCAAAGTTACTAGAAAGGAGCTATAATCTGTCGGTACCCTGTTAGATGACAAATACGTCAGTTTGCATCAAGGGACCCTAGTCAGTACGAAGTCGACCGAGAACGAGCTAACCGCCATTCTTGTGCTGCCGCAGGTACAGCCCGTCGAACAACAACCACCAGGTGGGCCTGGCGGCCATCCAGGCGCTGGCGATGGGGCTGCGGGGCAGCGGCGCCCCGGGTGCCGCCCCCTCGCCGCGGGCCAGCAGCAAGGAGGGGTCGCTGAAGCGGGTGGCCAGCCCGCAGACGCAGGAGGCGGCCAAGCTGGCCAGAGTGTCGCCTCTCGACAGGTATGTGTCACTATAGTGATGTGGATGGGGTATGATAATAGTATATTATGTAACAAGTGTTATAAACGTCCTCTTAGTAACGAGTATTTTAAGCACGAGCGGAGCAGAGCGGAGCGAGTGTTCAATAAACGAGTGTCTAGAAGAGTTTATAAACGCGTTACATATTGCTTTTTCTACGAACTCCGAAAATTACATTAATATACCTGCTATTTCTGCTAACTTACAAAATAAGGAGAGGAATGGGAATTGAGAACATAATACATGCAACTGCATGCAACCAGCGAGACACGTATAAGTGATATTAGTTGTAGATGTGTCCAGTCGTTACCACCGATACAACAAGGCCAGCAGACTCTGACGTAAACAGCTCGTGACGTCGCCAAGTGGGGCCAGTGTTTTATTTTATCGCTTGTCGACTAACGCGTCAGTTCGTGTTAATTCATCGGTGATTTACGTATGTTTTTGAAACGGTCCCGAATTCTTTTGTTGTTTATTCATCAAAATAATTGGCGGAAAAATTACTGTTTTGTGAAATATTTTGTGTTGTGATCGGCGAAATAACAATGCCTTTCAAGTGTTGTGTTCCCTTTTGTGGGGGGAATTATGTGGGTGGTTCAAAAGTTCATGCTATTAGTTTCCCGTTGGACGGGGAGCTATCGAAAATGTGGGTATATGCAATTCACCGCGAGGATTTTACTCCATCTAAGTTCAGTAGTAAACAGAGCTTAATTTATAATGATGAATTAATAATAGAAGACAATTACTCTCTCATAAAAAGTATAAGTAGAGGAAAAATAGAAAAGCTTTGATTGTGCAGTTAGTTTTGTATTCGTATATTATAGTCAACAAAATCATCTCTGAATTCGAGGAAATTTTCTTGAATGTTCATAATAAACGGGCATTTTTAATTCTCATTCTCAAATTTCTTTCTGAAAACGGTCATTTGCCTCGTGGCAGTGAATGCAGAATTCATTCCAATGATCAAATTGCATATCATATTAACATGAACTACAAACACTCTACTCAAAAAAGGTAAAACTGCATTTATCATGATATTCATCATGAAGATATTTGACTGAAAAGTTCCAAATTTCATCTTCCTTTTCACCTGTCTTCTGGATGGCAAGAATATAATAATAATAATAATAATAAATGCTTTTATTGAGAGGTTACATACAAGTACAGAAAACCTAACAAGAGGCAGGATTCAATATCTGCGCATGAAAAATTCATAGCAGAGCTTGCTCTTCCATCCAACCTTGATCATTCAAAATAATGGCGTGTGTAATGTCATTCGAAAGCAATCTATTGACATTTGACATCTCGTATTTTGATTGACTATTGATTAAATGGTCGTCATCTGGAATGCTTGTTCACTAAATATGAAAAACTCGCCATAAAAATCATATTTCCTGTTGAATTTTCGGTATAAAAATGTGCCATCGAAGTACATCATGAGTATATAAAGAGTCCAATGACAAAATAAGAGCAAGTAGCTTCAAATGCCCCCAACACAAGGGGAGGAAGAAGGCGAAATTTCGAACTTTTTCTTGAAATATCTCAATAAATAGTGGTTTGTTCACATTTTCATTATAAAATTCGGTTTATCAGACAAACATACGTGAGTACCGAAAAAAATTTTCAAAAAAAAAAACATCACATGATGAATGCAGTTTTACCCTTAAAAATTACGGTTTCAAGTGTAACGATCCACTTGGGTAAAAAATCCAACAACAGAAAATTGAAAACACTCACTGGTTATTTTTTCAGGTAATAGGAATTCTCCAAGATGAATAGGTAATTGTAACAAACGGCATGTCAATCAAAATAAAATACATTTTCCACAATTTTCTTTCGATCAATCTCACGATAAGTTTATGTTCTGCGGGCCCTGTATAAGTAGGTGTGAAGTTTACCTTCACCACAATTTTTGCTAATATATTTAATTCGAATGTGTTGCTGTAGGTGGATATTTGTGTTTTATCCTGGTTTTTGCTTTAAAACTTCGTTTTTCCATAATAAAATCGAATGGGGTGCGAAGAAGGGCTCAGTGGACGACTGGCATCAACAGCAACAGCAAAATCGGCTCAATGATGATCTAAAACTAAAATCGAAATACGCGGTCGCCTTATAGCGCTATAAACGCTTGTCGTTTCGAGCCGCTGGTTAGGCCTGACTAAGTGACGTCACCCACGGAGCATGCAGGCCTTGTTGTATCGGTGGTATCGGTCCAGTCCATTGCTTACTAACCTTTGTTTCACGTTTATTGTCATGCTTAGCGCATAATAAATAAATTGTTCTCACAAAGATGGATGCTTCATTTTTACACTTCTTGGAGATATGCAAGTACCAGAACATTCTCTTCGATTTCACTTTCGTCTACATTTCTGTCACTGCTTGTCATGGTGTCCGTACTCTTATTACAGCAAAACTGTCAAATACATACAGGGACTCCATAGTTCAATCAAATAAGTATATCGTTCGATGTCAATATTACCTGTTTAAACTTCATTCTACCGAATTTAAGAGTTTTACTTTCCACTTTGACTGAATCCATCTCACAAGTCTGTTTTTCATTCCTGAGCCCAACTGAATTGCTTTTCGTTTCGTTCAGAAATGAATCGACAGACTGATCGCGAAAATTCAATCACTTGTGGTATTACTACTGATAATCCGATTGTGTTGGTATTGTTTCAGGTGTCCGCGAACTGTCGAAGAAGACAATGACTGTGATATGGCCGAGGTTCCCCCTCGAGAAGACGATACCGATGTGGAAAGCTTCGAAAGGGATGAAAAACGTATGGAGGAAGAAGCAGCTCAGGTAAAATGAATTATTTTCGCGTATAAACAGCGTGTATGTATTTCTAATATTATTTTTCGACAATCATCAAAATATGGCAAGGTCCGTGCATTGATAACAATATGCAAAGTGATACTTTTTTCATTTCCCTACGTTTTCATGATACACCGTAAATGTAAACCATGCATATGAGATTTTTGAACTATAACCTTTATGGTCCTCAATGGAGCAAACATCTAAGAAGTCATTCATTTCTGAATGTTAATGTGTTAATATTACTTGATAACTATATTTTTTGACGTTTGTAGAAAAAAACTTGTTTGCAACTCGTGCGCGAAATACTCTGGTGATCTCGACTATTTTTTAACTTGACTGAGCTTCGTTTGAAAGTCAGCTCTTGATCACAAAAGTTGCATTTCGCGCAAGAGATACAAAAATAACTATTTCACACTTTGTCTTTTGTTTTATGCAGCCAGCAAATAGGGAAATGGTAAATAAATAGTTTATTATTCACAAGTGTAGCTAAGCTAATGAATATTACACAAGGTTCATATATTATTAGTATATTATATACGATCTGACTAATGTGACAATAGTACATTATACACCTAGGGCATAAAGTGGTATTTTAAATCCCTAGACAAAAAGTTTATAACCCGTCCAACGTGAGGGCTTTAATTTGTCGAGGGATTTAAAAACACTTCAGTCCCGAGGTGAATATTAGTTATTTATACAACAAGGTAGAGAAGAATATCATTATTACCCAGGGACCAAGATTATATCCCGAGGCTCCACCTCTGTTGTAATTCACCTGAATTCACTATTCTGATGGCGATATTCGCAGGAATGGCACTCGAATCTAAAAAGTATTCATCATATATCTACTACTATACCGGGTGACACAGTTTATCGGGCCACCCCTGTAACTTCTGCATTCGTCAACGGATTTTTATGAAATTCGGTCAAGTTATATAAGCAACTATTTCGGATTTGATCACATTACAATCCAATATGGCGGACTTCCGGTTTTTCTGGAAATGCCAGGAATTTTGTTTTTTCAAATGGAACACCCTGTATATTTTTACATATTCAAGTTCAACAGGTCAAAACAAGTGCAATCTTGATGTCAAATGTCATTCATTCCACAGCCTACCTAGTTGAAAAATTATTCTAACTGCAAGGAAATTCATAAACTAGTTGTTGATTTTTGAATGTATACAATTTGTTACTGCACCGAAAAACAAAAATGATATGTCATTCTGTTCCTCAATGTATGTTCTAGAGAGACGGGTAAGTGGCCCATAGGGGTTCCATTTAAAAAAAAATAATTTTTGATCAAAAAGTGATGTGGCTGAATTGATTCCTGGATAAGTGACACAAAAAATATTGTTTCAGAAAAAAGTATGTTCTTCTGTTATGTGTGACTCATTGTGAATAGTCTTGACCACATCTCATTTATCCACGAGGTAAAATGAAAAAACAATTTTTACATAATTTTTTTCGAAAAAATGACATTTGAAATAAAGATTGCACTTGTTTCGACCTGTTGAACTTGAATATGTAAAAATATACAGGGTGTTCCATTTGAAAAAACAAAGTTGCTGGCATTTCCAGAAATACCGGAAGTCCGCCATATTGGATTGTAATGTGATCAAATCCGAAATGATTGCTTATATAACTGTACCGAATTTCAGAATAATCCGATGACGAAAGCAGAAGTTACAGGGGTGGCCCGATACCCTGTGTCACCCGGTATATGAAGCATAGCTGTCCTCAAAGCGGGACCAACTTCTTTGTAGGTAACAAAATCGACCAATAGGCGTTGATGCCGACGTAGGGAAAAAATAATACGAAACTGGTCAAACCAATATGGCTGTTTCCATCCTTCACTTTCCGTCCTTATAGATTCAAAAAGTATATCTCATTTTGGTCCCATTTTTGTTGAGATATCGTATAGGCGATGGGCCATATATAGAAATAGCGCCATCGGGCCATTATTCACGCCGCAGGCCATAAACGCCTACTTCACGCCCTTGACACATGAATAACTACTAGCCTGGTTGAATGACTCTGTCCGTCTTCAGGAAGCCGAAGTGAAAAGGCTGCTCGAGGAAAAGATCCAGGAAAAACTGCGCCGGCTGGAGCACGCGCTCTCCAGCAGCCCCCCTTTGCTGGAGACGGTGCGCGCTGCCCCCTTCGCCGAGGGCAGCCCCTCCGAGTGGTCGGAGGACGAGGACGGCGGCGCCTCGGAGCCGCTGCTCGACGACAGGGAGTCGGCGGGCTACACCACCGACGATCCCGCCTTGGAGAACGTGTCGATGCTGAACGAGACAGGGTTGACGGATGCCGAGGGTGAGTGTTGCTGATCCATTTCTGAACAAATAGCGTTTTTCACCAACTAAGCATTACAAACCACGTGACATTTCAGCTGGCAAGATGGCGTTTGGTTGGCAAACAAAGATTATACATCACTTGTAATTGAATTGTTTTCTGCCCGAACCACCCTATTATTCTGGTAGTTTTATGTGGCAGGTGTTTGAAGGAGTCTCGGGAGTTGAATTGAATTATTATTTACAGTGCTTCAATATGCAAAGTTTATATTTCAAGAAGTTATTGCAGGAAAACCTAGAGATTGGTCAAAGGTAAACATGAATATTTATTGTTATTTCGTCTATTTTTCTCAACTAACCAGTAAATTTTCATGCCTGAAACTATCATAAAACCATAATTTGTTTGTAGATATCTAATGAAGCTGATGTTGATCAAGGATTTGAAGCCCTTCACATCTTAAACTGCTGACTAATTAGACTACCTGAAAATTATACTCCCCTACTATAGTGACTTACAGTTTTTACACTCATGAGCAGATGAAAGCCTAGAAAACCCTTAGCATTGATCAGTTGGAGTGTTCCGAGCTCTTCGTAATGGGAACGCTGTTGATCAGTTCAAGATCTGCTAAGAGTAACTTGGTGCTACTCGCAATTGGAAAGCGGCTAAGGTTGCCTCATATTTCTGTGGCCTGACGTCACTGTTTCCCCAGTCGTCTTTTGTCGAGCGGCAAAATGAAAATTGCGGAGCAGATAAACAAAACAAACAAATTTAGCATTGTGCAATCCAGTGAATTTTGATGAATTTGGAAGTTTTCCAATATGTTTTTGCATTCACGAGATAGTTTACTGTTTTCCCAAAACATGCAGCAAGTACAATAAAAGACTGAAAACAGAAATCTAGAAAGATATGTTATGTTCCTCAGTGTTCCTGTTGTATTGACAAATTACAAAAACTCAGTCAAATTCTTATTGCAATGGGGAAGACCACTGAGAGAAGAAATCCGTGCAAACCTCTTTCAATCGACGAATCATGATTCACGTTTGATGTACAATCAATACTATAAGTTAAAGTTGAAGGGAATCGAATCTATATCGTTTTGAAATCAGCATATTTCATTCGATATTTCAAACAGCCAAATATGATGGTGGAGTCGTGACGTATTAGTCCCGAACTGTAGCTATCTCTCTCTGATGCCTCCTCATTCTGCAGCAGTGTGATTGGTCAGTTCAAGGACAATAGGCGTGTTGGGAATAAGACGTCGCACCAGTCACACCAATGAATTGACAAAATTTCAAATGGCGCAGGAATTGTGTGTTTTGAAATGGGCATATTCTAATTTATTTTTTCCATCGTCTTAGCATGAATGACAAAATTCAAAATTAATTCGGTGGTAGTTTTTCAGTATAGAGTTCAGTCATTTTAAAAAATCAATGGTCTCCCCCATATCACTCCATCAGGACTGATTACTGTTGGCATTTAAGGATATGGAGATTGAACTACTGATAAAGCATTTTTTGGAAGTCTGAACCTAATGATGGAATCATTGTATAGTTTTAGGTATTATTGTTAACTATACTTCCTTATACCAGAACTTGATTCTGACTGGAAGTAACATTTTCAATAAATAAATAAATAAATAAATGGTGGATAAGGGCATGCTGACAAGGGATGTGAAGAAAAATTCTTGACATTGATAAGGCCACCATTTCTGAGAAAGAAGAAACAATTAACTATAGAGGATTTCCTACTGGATCAATTGAATGATTCTAACTCAATGGTTTTATTTCAGTATCAATTTGGAAAATATCATTGTTTGAAAATGAAATAATAAGAAAATGAATCAATAAAGAAGTCATTATCACAATTCATTCCATTTTATAAATGCAATAAAAGTGCAACATAATGGAAATATCTTTAAGATATCTTCCTTATAAGATTAACACAAAATGTTTCATAAAATTAACTGAAATTTATATGTAAGTTTTGGAGAAAGAAGTTCATTTGGGACATATTAGGTGTTTATATAGATTTCATTGTTTTCCACTCGTCGCACTAGCTCGAACGAGAGTGTCTCGAACTCTTATTTCACTCCCTTTAACCCTTATTTGAAGCATAAATTATAAAAAACGCCGGGAAAGTTTATTTTTTCTACAGAATTGTGCTTTATTTCTCTCAACAATAAATTTTTCTGTGAGTTTTTCTTTATTTTTTTCTAATGGAGAGAGGATGTGGTTATACATATAGACCATTATGCCAATATTGAATGATTTATTATTATCTCCATATCGACATGATTCAACGTTTTGTTCATCATCATAAGCCCGAGATCACCTTTCGCCAACGTACTATAAGGAAGATTTCATTGGGTCTCAACACTAACAAAACTAGTGGCTCCGACGGAATCCCTCCGATTGTTCTCAAGAAATGTGCTCCCGAACTAACACCTGTTCTCTGCAAGTTGTTCAACTACTCTTACAAATTGGGGATATTCCCGTCCAATTGGAAAATTGCAAGAGTACAACCAGTTCCTGACCGATCGCACTGCTATCTATATGGCTTCCGTCATCAGAGATCAACTGGTGACCTCACATATATGGCAGCAATCTATTAAACAATATGGTGAAACCTTAGCCGTGGCACTTGATATCTCCAAGGCATTCGATCGAGTCTGGCACAATTACAAACCTTATACTGACACCAATGATGATCACGGCAACTCAGGCGAATTGATAACTGCGAGCTCAGAGATGCGATATTGTATTTTCACCATGCATATAGGTGAAGCTAATAAAAAAATGTTAGAAAAAAAGGTTGATCTCTTGCAGGCGCCCTCAGCGACGTGAACTCCGCCTACATCGACCACCACCACGAGGCCGACATGGACGACAACACGAGCATCTCGTCGCGAGCCTCCTCGCGCATCTTCGATTCGGACGCCATGATGTCGCTGGACTCGCTCAGCGCCCTCTACGACTCCGAGTACGACAACTGCTGCCGCACCGACGACGACCTCAACGCAGTAAGTAAAGTCTGCGACACAATCGAAGTTTATTAATGGCCATTACTTAGGCCCGGTTTTACCATGAAGAATTCAAATCGTTTCACCATACCAGAATCACCGATTAACCCGATTAATCCAGATTATTTCTTAACTGGCAATTTTTCACCAGTTACTGAAATAATCGCGCGTTATCTGTCATGTATAATGAAAAGCTAGGTTATGCATTTTATGGATGGGATGGTTATGGTATGGTTATTATGGTTTTGAGATTTTGAGATTTCTTTCAATATAGGTATTAGATAATGGCAGCTCTATATCGGTCATATGATCTTGCTTCCGAAGACTACGAAGATAATCAATTCTTCGGTGCGGCGTCCCCGTTGGATATGAGAGAGAGAGAGATTACTTATTCAGTTCGCTTGTTTTAATTTTTCAATAATGTTGAATCGAGCTTCAACCATCTCCACGAAATGACTTTTTTCAGCAATACTGAAATTCGTCTCTTTCTTTTTTTTTTCTCTCGTTTTTCTCAATCGAAATCTTTTTTATTAATTTGTTTTGTTCACTATAGTGAAAAAAAACTCAACTTGAGAGGTTTTCATAATATGTCGTCAGAGCACACACAGAACGACAAATGTCTAGTCATTCATGGCCATTCTACACTGTTGCCTTGTTAATTCTAAGCTTTAATTACGGTTAGCTAATCGTGCCCTTGGAAAGATGAAAATGAGTTGAGAAAAGGCAACGACGATAATATAGATTAAATCCTTGGTTTCGCACATGTTTCGCTAACACAGTAGCTTCGTCAGGTGATATTCCTGTGGACAGAATCGATAAACCTCCATTTTCGGAAATTAGGCACAATATCTACATTAAAATACGGTGTACCGGATTAACTTGAAAGGTTTGATATTAGATACATATTATTACTTTACTAAGAAAACAAATTCAACAGTGGTGAACTATTGCGGTCTAATTGATCGTTAAGTAAAATGTCTGAATTTTTGAGTTTGTTGATTTCTAATGATTCTAAATGATTGTGTTTCATTCCTTTATTTTCTACGTGTAGGATTTCGAAATCATCATCAAAACTATGGTTTTCTTTCAATATATGGTTGGCATATGTTGAAACCTTCTCAACGTGTTATTTGTTCTATATTCTACTTTCAAGTCCTGTTTATGTAGAAATGAAGCTAATTTTTCAGTTGATGATCCAAGATAGGTTAAAGTTCTATAATTTTGATTATTATTCTTGATGATAGGAGTTGAATTATGACAAAACAAGTTACAGAAATTGAGAAACAAACATAATATTTAACTACTTATTTTTGAAACAAGATGGCGAACAAGAGTGATGCAAGGAGATTGTACTCACGTGGAAATGGCTATGGCATCATGCAGACGAAAACAATTTTCTAATTGTTAAAGAACATAATTAAATTTGATAACACAGACAGATAAAAAGACAAAACTTCTAAATTCGGAAAATCAAAGGTATACTAACTCAACTGTGGATCTTGTATATATCGGTCAGACAGGTCGTACGTTTAATCAGCGCATTCATGAACATAAAATGAATATTTAAATAAGAAAACAAATTCAACATACGCCAAACATATATTAGAAGAAAACCATAGTTTTGATGATAATTTCGAAATTCTACATGTAGAAAATAAAGGAATGAAACACAATCATTTTGAATTAACAGAAATCAACAAGCTCAAAAATTTTTGACATTTTACTCAACGATCAATTAGACCTCAATAGTTCACCACTGTTGAATTTGTTTTCTTAGTAGGTAATAATATTTATTTGCTATCAACCCTTTCAAGTTAATCCGGTATACCGTAATTTAATGTAGATATTGTGCCTAATTTCCGAAAATGGAGGTTTATCGATCCTGTCCACAGGTAATTAATCCTCCAAGTTGAGAAAGTAGGATATATAAAAGTTAAGTAAGCCAACGTTGGTTTAGTTCATTTTACCAGTATATCACCTGACAAAGCTACTGTGTTAGCGAAACATGTGTTTAAGAATTTTGTGGAAATCTTATCGTTCGTGAAGTTTTTACATGATGTAATTATCTGATGTTGCTCTACAAATGCATTCATTTGATCTTTCAAAATAATTTCGCAAGCTTTAGATAGTGAAGGTATTAACTTACATAACTACAGGTGCCGGAGCTAGACAGGCTGGACTACTTCACAGGGCCCGTGAACGACGTACATCTGGCGAACATCCGGTCGATGAGCGAGAGCATCACGAGGAATTTCGGCCAGCCGAGGAGCGACACGGATCCTGACAGTGACGTTTGAGGTGGGTCGTCAGTCGTGTCAACGTGTTTGGATTTCGCGCCGCGCTCTCTGATTGGTGAGATTATGATGCAACTTGTTCGCTTTTCGTATCGCGTTTGATGCACTCTTATTGGTGACGCGTATTGAGCTCTTTTCCAAGGTTAGTAGATACTAACCTTGGCTCTTTTCTACCTTGAACGAGAGAGAGGAAAGTTCTCTTCTCTTCCATTTTTCTCTTCGATGCTACCAACGTGGCCGCACTGATTGAAATATAGAGAGGAACGATAAATCTGTCCTTGTCTTAACATCTAGTCTGCGCCACTGAACTATTTTCGATGTTATAATGATGTGATATGTCTATGTCATAAATGTCACACTTATTTCGACATCATTTGTTGATGTTGTTGAATTTGTCTCTCTTTTGAATTCAAAATAGTTCAGTGGCACAAACTAGATGTTAGCCAAACAAAGACAGATTTATCCGACATCTCTATATTTCAATGCGGCTACGTTGGTAGCATCGAAAAAAAGGATGGAAGAGGAGAGAACTTTCCTTTCTCTCGTTCAAGGAAGAAAAGAGCTCAATTTAAGAAAGAGAATGGCTATTCAAATGATTCAAATGATATCAATTTCCAAAATTCGCGAAATTCACGAAGTGGGCGACATCTAGGTTACATAATACGAACTTCAAACTGGGGGAAAACAAACTGTTGTCTATGGATAAACTACATTGCATTCAGCTTGCTGTAGCTGCAGTCAAACTTGTCAATGACATAAAGTGTTGGCACTGTTGGTAGTGATGATGGTTGAGATGGTTGATTTTTTTACATTATTACATTTTTATTAGCTTAGTGAACAGTGAACGGGTGAAAAATTGGAGATAGTTCGAACAATTCAAACTAATAATGACGAGCAAATCAATTGACATATAAAAGAACAGCTACAACATGTTTACAATACCCAGATTGTCCTGCTTTGCATGAAAAAATACAAATCCATTGTTCTACAGGAGTTCCTCTGGACCCCAACTTCAATTTTACTTCATGTGGAGAAGATTTCATCGCCGAAGTTTGTAGACAAAGTGCAAAAATTTGCCTTTTGTTGAAGTCTTCTGCCTCACACAAAATCACATGATTAGCACGGAGAACTGCTTCCCCTTTCACTACTGGTCAGCTTTTTCCATCTAAATAGAGCAAAATATCTGCCAAAAGAACATCTACAACAGGCATTATTAGCGTTCTCGATCGAATATTGACAATTAATGTCAAGAAATTGAAAAACTTATCACTCTTATCTGTACACAGTACACAAGCTAATGGCACTAATGGGATTGAGTGAGGATTGACTTTGTTTTCCCCCAGTTTTGACGTGGCTTTGACATGGAACGATGAAAACCAAGCGCCACCTGGTAACATTGATTCCCGCGAATACAGCAGCTTGAAATTATTAATGGAGCAGACTATGAGGTACTACCTTAGATCTACTGACATTTGATATTTGTCTATGATAAGTTTCTAGACTTATTCACTTCACGCCTACGTACCCAAAAATAAGAATAAGAAGAAAGCTGTCAGTATGGTCTAACCTCAAAGCACCAACAAAAATGTAAACAGAATACATCTCACTCAGTATGATGTGAATCAGATTTACAATCACTGTTGCCAGACTCGCTCAGAGGAATTAAAATATCTCTTCAACCTTTCAATAGGAATTCGAAGAAGAATGGTTAAACTCAAAACGAACCGTCAGCATGATTGTTACTCTGTATATATTATATACCCATATATTTATAATCGTCAATTATTATGCTATTTGAATATTTATGTTTCGTCTATGATTCCCCTTTCATCAGGTATTCGGTATACAATTTAAAAAAATAATTAAATTTCCACCCATAATATTGGTTGAATACGTCATTTCAGATACCATTATGATGTTAGAGCGAAATTTGAAAATATCCTGATCCATTATCATCGATAAATCTTGTAACGCTGTACTGGCTGCGAAAAATAGCTCGCATTTTTAGCTGTGTGTACATGGCTTTTTGAAGTAGCTCGTTATGAAAATGGCGGAGGAGCCAAAACTATATCTTCACGATTTTTTTCCGAATGAAAATTTGATCATACGAAACAAATAAAAAATGTGTGTTTAATGAATTCCCATGAAAAATACAGAGCAATTAAAATTTGAATGTTGGAAATTAGCTTATTTCATCATTTTGTTTTGTTCCTAATGAAATTACCTGTTAGTGCCACTTTCATTGGAGAATAGATACAGAAGTATACTTAAGATCCCAAAATAATTCTAAATACGTATTTAGGCAACCAAGTTGCAGGAAGCAAGAAAATAAAGATCACCTGACACCGGACTGACAGGACTCTATAGGAGTCCCGAACGATACCATGACGTCAGTAATCTTTTTCAGCTCGGTATAATGTGTCATAAGCCATAGGTACCCTCCTTGGGACGCTGACCAGATATTTTCCTTTATTTCTGTAACGACTCGATATGAAATGATGAATTACTTGACTTTTATGCTGAATTAAAAAATTTCAAAATTTTCTTCTGGAGTGTAATAAACAAAGGGGGTTTAGTGTACTTTCAGGCTCAAATTTTTTGTTAGCAATTATTTTCACAAATCCACCACAAATATTGAAGATTTTTAAAATGTTTCATTGAGGTAATGCCCCTTCTCTACTATGAATCAGCATTATAATATACCAAGACAAATGATTGTATAAAAACATTAAAAAGTTGAGGCATCAAAATATCAAATTGAATTTTTTTTCATGATAATTTTTCATGTTATGCATTTTTTTGGTCATATTATTTCGTCTTCAAATTGACTTTATATTGTCTATTTTGAATTGAACAATTTGTCGAAATCCAACAAGGATACATTTCTTCATGAAAAAACATCTATGATGAAATTTAGAAAAGAATTTATTAGAAATTAAAAATGAGTATCCCTGCAAGTTTGAGGAATTTCTTACTCCCTATTATCATCCTCTTACTCTCCAAATTGTGAAAATGAGAATTTTTTAAATAGCATATTCGGTAGCAAGTTATCAACAGTTGGATGTCACCCAATAAATTTGGTGATTCACCTGTTGAGAAAGAAGTTTACCTCATGCTGAAATGTTTGATGATTGAATGATAACATTGCCATATCATTACCTCAATTAAAGCTCTCAAACTAAATCTGAACATAAATAACATTTTATTTGATTCTTTGGTATTTTCTCTCCTCATTTCTATAAAATAGTTGAAAAGAAAAATAACTCCATCGTTCCATATGATATCTGAATTCAGCATCACCATTAAGAGTGCAAGATGAGCGACTCGAAGAAAAAACATTGTAAACTCACCTTTACGGGACCAGGAGCGGGTTAGAGAGTGATTTCGGGCGGTGCGATATTGGCCAGAACGGAAGAACCGTGTGACGGAGAATTAAGGAACACTTGAAGTGCATGTCATCGGAACCTTTCTATTTCTCTGAAAATATATTGTCGGTGCCTGGTCTTGAACAAATAATGATGATATGCAAGGGCATCAGAGTCATCATTGTTATACCTTCTGATCTGATACAACTGAAAACCACTTGTTGAATAAATGATATTAGATAGTGGGGCATGTTATTAGTTCAGTGGTTATGTCTGATGAAGAGTTACCAATGATTATCAGATTATATTTTCAGTTGACATATCTGGTTCTGACATTTGCAATGTTCCAGATTTTAATTTACCGCTATGACATTTTTTTACGGTTTCCCTGCGAATTGAATGATTTTTAAAATAGTTAATTTCCTGCCATATCACTTTTATTTTCCAAGTGCCAAGTACCGAATTCAATTCAAAATGAAAATTACAACTACTATGAAACTGTTCCCTACGTCATGCAGTTTGCATGAAACTTCAATTATGGGGTGACTGGACATTTTTTCGATTTTAGGTGTTCTTTTTCGTATACAGACGACATCACTCGTCTGAGAGCACTGATTATAATAATGTTAATATAATGTATTGTTGAAATTATGTGTTTAGATTTCGGTATCGACTAGATTTGATAATTATTTTAATTCAGAACCAAGTAATGGTGAAATTTTGTGCCTGTAGGGAGGGTTTTGAAAAATGTCTATGAATATTTCGGGTGGAAACAACTAAATCCCACTATTGTTTTTCTTTTATTTGTATTATTCCTCTAAACGCATTGAATATACAGGGTCTCTATTAATGATCGTAACATCGTAGTGGCTGTTGACATTTTTTTCCCATTTGCCGCTTTCTACTAATGCTGTTAACAACATTCAACGGCCAAAAAGGGAGGAAGTGATGATCACAGGATCTTTTTTTATATCGTTTTGCATACACTATGGGAATGTATCTCAAAGAAGTTTGGTAAATAATGGAACAAATCAAAAATATTTATTAACGAAGTAATAAATAACGGTTTATTTCATTAACCTACATCAAATATTCAAAATGTTCTCTGTTGTTCACCAAGCATTTCAAAACTTCGCCGTTTGTTGTCGAAAATGTTCCTCAGCATTTCCGGGCCAATATTTTGGCAGCAATGTGTTATTGAAGCTTGCAGCTCTTCAAGGTTATTATTGTCTCTCTTGAATACTTCGTCTTTCAAATATCCAAAAAGGCAGAAATCCAAGGGCGTCAAATCTGGAGAACGTGTTGGAAAAGAAGGATCAACTCCTCGATTTATCACACGGTTGTCATAAAATACTTGTAAATATTCAAAATTTGCACGTGTGGTGTGAGCTGTGGCCCCATCTTGCTGAAAATAGACAACTCGAATTTCTTCATCATCAAGTTGATTGATGAATGGTTCCAACATCACTTGTCTGTACCTTTCACCATTGATAGTGCCATCGAAGAAAATCTGTCCATACATTCGCCTACGAGAAACTGCTAACCACATCCCAATTTCTTGAGAATGTAGTGGAGTTTCTATGAAATTGTGGGGATTCTCAGATCTCCAAAACCTAAAATTTTGTGAGTTCACGTATCTCGACAAATGAAACCAAGCCTTATCGCTGGAAAATGTCCAATAGCTGGTCATCGATGAGATTATTTTGGAACCATTCGCAGTACTCCAGACGACGTGGGATATCTATTGGCTGTAGTACATTGATCTTGGAAGGGTGCACATGCAATCTTTTCTTGAGCACTTTATGGCATGCACTTAGTGGCACACCAGATTGTAAAGATAATCTCTTCAATGACGTTTGGGGATTTTGCTCAACACGGCCCTTAGATTTTCGACAACTTCTTCCGATATTTGGGGCATTCCTGTTGATTTCTTTTTATTAACGTTTCCAGTTTGGATGAATCTGTTGATCACTGTTCTGATGCGGGCTTTCAAAGAAGATTCTTGAATCTGTACATTAGGATATTTCGCCAGGTACTCATCCTTGCAGGCTATTACCGAGTAACTCCATCCACCATTGATGAATGTGTCATTCAGACAATAAGACATTACAATAAATGTATTCTGCTCCGAGGAATAAGCCATCCCTTTTTTCAACACGACAATCACGAAGTAGAAAACAGAATCGTTTGAAAATTGTAACGAAAAACTGACAATTGTGAGTTTATCAGCTATGACAGTATAATGATTGATGTCAGAAATTAAATTCGAATGTGTGAATCTCCATAAATGAAAGTCGGCAAATGGAGAAAATATTTCAACGGCTACTACGATGTTACGATCATTTATAGAAACCCTGTATAATAATTTGAGTAATGCTTGAAAATGTCGAACCATGTCTTTTGAATTCCATTTCACTAAAAATTTCTCAATGTCAATAATTTATCAGCACCTGAAAGGAACTCAATATTATTATTATCGATATGTTACTGAAAAAGGATAACGAGGAATATAGTAAATCTAGAGGATTCAAAATGATGTTCTTTATGTTTTCATCCAAAATATTGATATTGGTGCTTATAGCATATTAAAGGGCTGGAATTTGTGATTTTTACTTATTGTACTTGTTAAAGTGGCTCTCTACCTGAAGCATGTTGATCACTATTTTGAAGTTGGTTAAAAACCAAAGATGCAGTTATTATATTGTTAGATATTATTTACTATTATGTAGATTTAGTTGAAATTTTTTTTCTAATTGAAACTTGTCTCAATTTCTCGATGTTATTTTGACATTTTTATCTCCTTAAAATTGCCACAGATGGTTTGGGCGTAATGACATGTAGCTCTGAAAAAATAATTCTGGAGACTGGATTTTCAGAACTTCAGAAGAAAAATAAGACATGTCACTCATGTCAGCCTATCAATTATTTTCCAAAATGAAACCAGTACTTGTCATTGTTTTCAATTAGGTACAGGGAGTCCCACTTAAATGTATCACCCCCTTTTATCCTCGCAATACTCAACATATTTTGGTCATTTGAAAACTTTTCTGAAATATTTTTTTACGAATTTTTTGAATCTTTGCTTACTTTTTCTTCATATCAACAAACGACAACAAATGAAATGATACATATTTTTCTCCATTATTCGATGGAGCCTGTCAATCTAGATTGAAAAATATATACAAGGTGATTCTGAAATAGGTGGTCAATCTTTGGGAGCATATAGAGTGGGTGAAATAGTTACGAAATCTTCCGTAACATTTTTTTCTGAAGTGGCCCCCAAGAAAGATACAGCCCCTCAAAAGGGGGCCTCGGAGAATGATTTTGTATTATTAATCTCCAACACCTTGTATAATGAAAATCTGAAATTTCGTCCATCCACTTACTATTCAGTGCCAGTTCGAATGTAGTTAAAATCACCTCAAAATTAAATACAGGGGTGTGTCAAAATAGGGAGGTAGGTGGTAAAAATATCCCCAATTTTTTTGTTCATCGCAATTTCGGATATTTGTCATGAAATTATGAAATCTCAGGGCTATTTACATAGAAAAGGTGCTCCTGTTGCATCTCGATAAAATGAACTATTATTTCATTCAAATTGCGATTTTGGTGTGTACTTGAGTTTAATTATCTAGGTCAAATCTCGCAGCTGAATTTTTACCTACTTCTAATCGTCTGATCAACTTAGAATCTGGTAAATGACAGTTGACAATGCGTTATGCAGCTCCAATGTGGCTGACCAGATTTGTGATTCGATTCAAAATTGGTATGTGAGGGTTTTTGGGGTTGGAAATTTAGAATTCGTTGTCGGAATTCATGAAATCAAAATAGCCGACTAGTTTTGTTATTATGAACTGATCCTATTAAGAATAAAATAAAAAATATTGTTGAAAACAAGCTTTCATTACTTCAACTATTGAAATGAAAAATTGCAATTTAAATGAAATCTTGGAAAAATAAATTTTATTCGCTAATGGTTCATTTTATCGAGATTCAACAAGAACTTCTTTTTTATGTAGGTAAATAGCCCTGAGATTTCATAATTTCATGTAAAAAACTCCCACCTCCCTCTTTTGACACACCCCTGTATTTGATTTTGAGGTCATTTCAACTCCATTCGAACCGGCAATGAATAGTTAGTGGATAAACAAAATTTCAGATTTTCATCATACAAGGTGTTGGAGATAATAATAGAAAATCATTTTCCGATGCCCCCCTTTGAGGGGCTGTATCTTTCTTGAGGGGCACTTCAGAAAAAAATGCTCTAAAAAATTAAAAAAAAAAAAAAAAAAAATTTGAATCATTCCATTTGAAAACACTTTTTTCTCTTTAGCCACCCTGTATTTTGTTGATATGAAGAAGAAGTGAGCACAGATTCGCAAAAATCGTGAAATATTATTCCAGGAACGTTTTTGAATGGTCAAAATATGTTGAGAATTATACGAGGAAAAAGGGGGTGACACATTTAGGTGGAACACCCTGTACCTAATACACTTTAGATTACTCAAGTCATGACTAGATTTCATAATCCTCAACAAATTCTGTATAACAAGCCAAGAGCCTCTTTGTAAAAATGATATTTTTCATGTGAGCAATAGCTGATTTAAGATGTATAATTATTTACCCAAGATATTTGTTTTCCAGTATATTTTTGATACATCACAATTTCTTTTTCTGAAATAATACTGTTTAGAATTCATACTCAGTTATTATTTTGGTTACCATTACAATATTTTGTTTCATAATCCTTGCAATTATCATGTGCAATTATCGTACTTAAGTGAACCAACTATTATTGTTAATGTTGTCTCCTCAGTTCAGATATTTCATTTTTCTTGAAACTCGGTGGTCAGAAAGTTAGAGATTTTATTACACTCGATTTCATATTAGATATTCTAATATGTATTTGATGTGATTAAATGATGGAATGAAATATCGATTCCACTTGAAATCAGGATGAATATTACATTAGATTTTTTCTGTGATCATCATTCATGTAGTTATAAGCACCCATACTAATTATCGGTGGTATGTAAATAAAAATATATATTTCTATTTTTCTTTAATGTTCAAATATAATTCTTGATGTTCAATTTTCTGATTGTGGTTATATAATTCTGTTCTTGTGGCGACTTTGTTGTGCATTTTTTTTTTCTACTTTTCGTCTGTGTAAAAATATTATATATAGTGTATGTTGAAAATGTTTTAATAATTTATTGAATGCTTATGGAGTAATTGAATACATAATCAAAACAGAACCCTACACAAAAAAAGCGTGTTATTCAATTTACCCTTACATGCCCCCTTGAGCTCTGTGTTTCTAACTCTGAAAAAAATCAATTTGAAAGTAAATTTGAAATTCCGGAATAACGAATAAATTGAATGTTGATAAAGAATTGCCAATATTCAAAACTGGAATGTAACGATTCTTACGGAAATTATTGGAAAAAATTATGAATAATCGTTTACTTGATTTTTTCAAAAATAATAATACCTATATTGTATAATGGTCAAAATGGATTTTGCATGTCAAAAGATACTGAGGTAGCTGTGATGAATATAATTTCAGGAAAAGGTTATAACAATGTCAAATTTAATATTTAATAAAGTTAGTAGAATACAATACATACCCATGAAACAAGACAATTTTGGGCAAACATTGGATATTCCGTAGTGGAATTTTCATCGTTCATTTACCTACCTGAGTTGGAAAATATAAATGGCGCAGAACTTTGAAAAGAATGGCTGCTCCAAGATGGCGGATAAGATTTGATCCGATTCTATTCAAAATTGGTAAGTGGGGGTTTTTGTGGTCGGAGATCATGATTTTTTTGTTAAAATTTATAAATTCAAGATGGCGGCTTCCAAATAATTTTTTGTTT